GATAGATAGACAGACAGACAGACAGACAGACATATAGATGATAGATAGACAGACAGACAGACAGACGATAGATAGATAAACAGACTGACTGACATATAGATGATAGACAGACAGACAGATGATAGATAGACAGACAGACAGACTGACTGACTGACTGACATATAGATGATAGAGAGACAGACAGACAGACAGATGATAGACAGACAGACAGACTGACTGAATGACATATAGATGATGGATAGATAGATAGACAGACGGACGGACGGACAGACGATTGATAGATAGACAGACAGATATACAAATAGATGATAGATAGACAGACAGACAGACAGATGATAGATAGCTAGACAGACAGACAGATGACAGACAGACAGATAGATAGATAGACAGATAGATAGATAGATGGATGGATGGATGGATGGATGGACGAACAGACAGACAGATAGAAAAAAAAAGTAACATCAATAAAGTTAAGAACTTTATAGCTTTCCGCAAAAACCTAAGAACCTAAAAAATTCCAAAAATGGATGAGGAGGGTTTTTGCGAATCTGTAGTTGCTTCCGAAAACAATGAAGAATTGTGTGGAATAATTAATTTGTCTGACTAATTATCTCTGTTGTTTTCTGGTGGAAAGGTCTAAACTGCACGTGTTAGGGAGGGATGTGAATCTTGTTTGTTTCTAACACCTCATCTGTTCATTCTATAAGTGTGCTAGTTCCCAGCTCTCTGTGAGGTTCTGAATCTGACCGTTGCACCGCGGGCCCTCTGTCTGTGAGCTCACTGCCCACTTGATGGGCTCTTTTGAGAAGCGTCCATTGGGTCTTTAGAGAGGGGCTGTACAGAGGCCAGCAGCGCCACATGGGGAAATGACATCACAAACGAGGTTAATGGGCAGGGTCATCAGAGGGCTGGAGACTGAATCCTGCTGTGATGGTGTGTGTGTTTGTCAGGCAGCACCTGAGCAGTGTGTGCAGTGAGGTATAAACATGAACGCTTGAGGGTCACTTATATAAATGGATGCAGAAAGACAAACACATGCATCAGTGCACAAGAGCACTTACAGTGAGACAACAGGCACATAACACGGCTTATGTTTAATGCCTTAAACATGTTCATTATCGGACATCATAAACAAATAATAGAAATAATATGTAAATACCTTTTACTTTTATTGTTTTTTTCTTCTATTTTTTTCATTTCATATAAACACGGTTTTCTTTTTTTTTATCTGCAGTACAGATTTGTATATTGTATATTGATAGAAAATGCATTTCCATCTTACTGAATAGCTTGTTTTTCAGCATCGGAACAGAGAATAGAATTAATAGAATAGAATTACCGGCATTTAACTGACTTCTGGACAACATATTTATTAAGAGATAGGAAGAAATGAATCAAACTGGAAAATCCACAGTGATGTGAAATGCTGTGATATATGTGAAGATGAAGGTCTTCGAAAGAAAAAGGGGGGCTAGGGAGTTGTTTGGGAAGTTATGTCATGAGAAAACTTCTTGAACTCTATATCCAACAATACAGGAATTGTCTGGAAAGCGGGTAAAGGGTTTGTAGGGTGAATAAGGGGCGTTTTGCATGTTGGACGTATTTGATGAGCCTCTCGTTCTTTCAGATTGTCCTAAATCTCGTGCAGAGACAAAAGCCGCTAACCCACTGACATATCAGTTTGGTTACTTGACATTTTGCTATTGTGGGTACAGTAACCTTTTGGTTAGCCCTTCATACTGTTGTGTGTAGAGAGCAGGAAATGCAGGGGAATTTAGCACAGGAAGAGCACACGCGACAGTAAAGCCCAGTCAGGACATCATTCAGCATAGCCACATGCTGTTGACATTTACATAGATATGTTCAGAAAAACAATACAAGACAGGCAGGAAAACAAAATAGGACACAAACCCATTACCATGAATGCATGAAATAACCCTTCTTTTAATAATAAAAGTATAATAATAATAATAATTATTATTATTACATTATTAATAATAAATGTATGAATTTTTTTAATAATACATTTTATTTATTTAAATAATAAATAGGTCAAATGTATTTATTTTGTTTTAAATACATTTCTATTGTCACAATTTAATTCATACAAATAAATACATTTATAATGTTATTATTAACTATAATTATTATAATTATTTAATTAATGTTATTATATTTAATAAATGTAATTTCTTATATGTATAATTATTATTTTATTTAAATATTACACATTTAATTATTTAAATAAATGTATAAATGTATTTATATTGAATTAATTTCTGTTATCAAAATGAAATGTGTGTTATTCATTTTATTTAGGGGCTATGCATTCTCGTTATTTTTTCTTTCTTTTGCATTTCTGAAGCTGGTATCTGTGTGTGATTTCATACAGAGCTCAGATTAAATAATCACTTAGCACTTGGCAATGTATTAAACCACAATATGTCAGTCCATGGACCACACACAGGGCGTTTCTCTCCCTTCCTGCCAAAAAACGAGACTGGCTTTGCTGCGACAGACGGGCGGTTGGTTGGCTTCTTGGTTTCCCAGAGCCTGCTGCTTCATTTAAAGGCTGTTTGAATGCAGGATAAGTCACTGACATTTATTAGAGCTCTGTTTAGTGATGAGCGTCATGAAAAACAGAGTCTTGTGTTTTATAGAGGGATTTTTGTTGCCTAACTGTAGAGGAGGTTGTAAACCTCGACATGAGGCACAGAGGACCACAAAAGCATCGCCCTTCATCACCAAGCACCTTATTTGGGCCCTGCCAGAGTTAATGGCGCTATAAACCGACCCGCACTAAGAGAGAGTGAAGTGAACTGCTTAGTTTTAAATGTGTTCATCTGGGGCGTAACTTCAGAATCTGGCTTTACAGCCCTACTGACATTTCAGATCATATTCCTGTGTGTGTTGTCGGAGTAAAACGAGGTAATGAGATTGTTGTTGTGCTGATGTAATTGTTGAAGTGGGATTATGTTTGCATCATGGATAGAGTTCTGCAGGAAAAGCTACAGGTAATGCCACTGTGACACCCCCAAAATAACCTCTGAAAATGTGAATAAAAAGTCTTCTATTTATTTATATTGTATTTATGTATTGTTCAAACACACATTTATTCATAAATGTATTTATATTGTATTCATTTAGTTTCTGTTATTAAAATTAAATTCATATCACACACACACACACACACACACACACGTACTTCTATTTATTATTAATTATATTAAATAAATGTATACTTTTATTTAGATTGTATTTAATTTCTGTTTTCAAATATATATATATATATATATAAATAACTTTATTATTAATTATATTATTTAAATTATACATATTATTTATGTTTACTTTATGGATAGTGGGTCTGCAGGTGTCTTCACTTTATTTAGATTCGGTCTAGCCCTTTCATCTTGAAAATAACAGTCTTTTGGATTGTTTCATCATATTTTATCATGTGTATATATTATACCATGTATACATAAGATATTTTATTGACACATAAAGTGGCCAATCACAGTTTAATTTGTTTTCATGTGTAATTTAGGGGCTGGTTTATTTGAAATAGTTGGTACCACAATAATAAATTGACATGAAAAATTTAATTAAAATAATTTGATACCATCTAGAAAAACACTTTGGCCATTTAACCCAAATGTATGGCTGTTCAAAGTAATAAATACTGAATATTTCAGAAATATGAAATGCTTTAGATTCTTTACAATCATAGTAAGACGTATTCCTGTACTCTGTAAATCAAAGCTCTTAAGAAGCCCTGAAGGTCCATCGCTGTGGGATCATTAGTCTTGATATCGGCTGATGTGGATGTGACTGAAGTAGAGATGCACCGATCGACCGGCCAGAGACCAGAATTAGACGATTTTCCGCAAGATCGGAATCGGTCCGTGCCGGTCTGTTTTTCCATTACATCTACGCTCACATCCGCATGTAAGCATGTCGTCGGCGTGGAAGTTCTTCACTGTGAGTGAAAATGACTCAAAGTTCACAATTTGTAATATGTGTAAGGCCAAAGTAAACCGCGGGGAACCACAGGGCTTGATTAACGCTTGTCTGGGACAAGTATTTGACTTGGTGTTACTTGGAATTTGATGTGAAATATGACACATTTAATAAGGTTAGGGGAAAATAAATGTATAAACATAGTGGGAAGTGGCATCTGTTTTGTTACATACAACAACTCCTTTCTACCTCTTTCCAGTCCCAGAGCACTTTATTTTTCGAGTTGTTTAAGTGAGAGAACATCTGTAACAGTACAGGTTAGGGGAATTGTAATGTTTAATAATTTATTTGATTATGTAAATAATTTTTTGCATTGGAAAAAAAAGTCGATTTTTGTTTGTGTATATGCCGTCAATTGACCAAAATCATAATTGTCAATTATTCCCTTGAAATTGTAATTGCGATTATTAATTACGATTATCACAATTTACGTTGAATAATGTTTATACCATTGTTTTATGCAACTGCATGCCGTATTTTTATATGAAAATAAACAAGCAGAAAACACTCTAACTGAAAAACTTTTAGTGCTTTTCAATAGTATTAAGCCTCAAATGTCAACTATACATCGGATTGGTTTCTTCTTTAAATTATAAAAAAGTAAAAATATGAATGGTATTATAATGTTATACTAAAACTAAAATTAAAATAATGGGAAAAACCCTTAAGATAACATGTAGAAAGAAAAAAACGCATCTTAAAGGTGCTGTATGTAGGATTGACACCGAGTGGTTGAACTAGGTATTGCAGTCCAAATTCAATGGGCGGGTTTCACAAACCAAAAAAAAAGACTGACATTCCGGCCCGGAACGCACATTTTCGAGGGAGAATAACTGACTGTAGCATTGTTTTTCAGATAAACAAATTGTTATCTTTGCATGTTTCTTAAATATCTGCAAACATATTATCGTATTTTTATGCTTTAGTAGAGTCAAAAACTTACATACAGCACCTTTAAGCACGCAGAATAACATAAGTGGACTTTTTGAACGATTAATTGCCGCTTTGAACGATTACGTAATTGTGGCATCCATAATTGTAATCGCGATTAGAAATTCGATTAATTTTGCAGCCCTACTGTCAATTACCTGTGTTGCAGATAATCAGAATTGCCAAAAATGTACAAAAAAATCGGAATCGGCCAAGAAAATTGCAATCGGTGCATCTCTAGACTGAAGCAAAGTATCTTTCATCACCTCCCTTTGTTTCTCAGTTGTTTCCTGTGCTCCATCTCTCTTTCTCCTCTTTCATGTCGCTCCCTCCCTGCCCGAGTGACCTATTTTTCCTCCTCCGCTGCAGCGTGGCATACGAGATCAGCTCGGTGTCCTTGTGCAGACTGAGACTCGGGCTGAATCTCAATGAGGTGGAGGGGTGTGAGGATGATGATGTGTGTGTGTGTTGGGAGGCCATACAGGTTTACATCCTCTACAGCTCAGATTAAACCAATGCAGACCACCATCTAGTGTTGATAGTGGAGCATTACATGCAACATTCCCATTTCCCATTTTTCTCAGGGTAATCAGTCATTGCTTCATGATTTATTTGTTGGGTTTTGTTCTAAAATAGTCCAAACTTTACCTCTTGAATCATAGTACAGTCATTTTTTGATAAGAATGCTATTCCCGGATTAATATAGGATGTTGACTTGTGAAAATTTCCTAATAAATATTGTTAAGCTTCATCTTGAGCTATTGCCACCTTCAGAAATAGGTTTGTCTGTTGTTGCACATACTCATTTATTAAACCGGATACTCAGATGTCATTAGTTGAAACCAGAGTGGTATTTTTTAGGGATGCACGATATATCGGCCACCATATCGGTATCGGCCCATATCGGCTCATTTTTTCTGGTATCGGTATCGGCCTGATAAGAAAATTTGGCCAATATCTTAAAGCCGATAAATAATGCATTATTTCCTTCAGAGACACTTCAAATGCGCGCTGTTCGTTTGCAGCCTTTTGTGCAATTGTACATTGTAATATTGTGTTTATTTGATGTATATCTGATTTATCTCATATAGAATGCGTTTGGTTAAGTTAAAAGAGCGCTTCAGTTTACCGGTGATCGTCTTTAGCTCAGCGCACGCAGCTCAAACAGCAGTGCACAACATTAATAACTATGATTGGGAATGTCGTGTATATAACATTCTAATGAGAACATTATTATAATAAAACGTTGTGCATTCTTTGGGTTTAGTTGCTGTGTTTCAGCGCGTTGTTATGGGAAGAGCGCATCCACAACAGGATCACACATTCTGACTATAGCATGCAATAACTGCGTCATTTGTCATTTCATATATAAGTTGTAATATTATGTTTATGTTGTATTAATATTAATCTCAGGATGCATTTCCTTGAGTTAAATAAGCTGCCAGCAAAACGCTTCAGTTTACCGTGTTCATTCAGCTCTTCAGCTTCAGCTTGAGCTGCAGCTCAATGGCTGCTATTTAAAACAGTGGTATTAATTTGTTACTTTTTCAAAATCATTGATATATTATTAATAACAACAACCACTTGTATTTTTCTCTTATTATTTTCATCAACAATATGGTTTAGTAATTAAAATCATTTAATTATTGTCCGTGCAGAGGCTATTCCGTTTTATTGATCTATGGCGCATTCATTTTGATTCTTTACACGTGTAATGATGTCCAGTGACTTGTTTGCATTATTTATGCATTATTTTATTTATTTGTAAGACTTTTTTATGACTAAATTTGGTAATGGGAGAGTAAAAATATTTTTAAAACGTACACCGTTCAAACTAGGCTGCTTATGTTGAAGTGTTTGGGATGTGGCTTTTAATGATGAGACTTTTTTGTAATCAGGCTCTCAAAAAGTATATAACAATTTGGATATAGATTTATCGGCCAACATATCGGTTATCGGCTTTCAAAAATAAAGAATAATCGGTTATCGTATCGGCCAAAATTTTCATATCGGTGCATCCCTAGTATTTTTATTCGTTTATTTTTATTTTATGTTTTTCAGATCCTGTTTGATCAAGCTCAGAGATCAGTGAAGCAGCAGTTGCACAACTTTGTTAAAGAGTGAGTATACAAGTCTATATTTATTCACTGCTGTGTTACTCACCCTGATAAAGAACTTCTATTTTATACATGTTGAAAAATATAACACAATTATCACTACTGATATGGGGGGAAATCTTATTGCATTTTTTTCTGATAAAAATTCTGATTGTGATTTAAAATGTGATTTCTTTTCATATTCAGGTTTGCTTATATATGATATAGAATTGTGATCATATATATCATCTTGACTACAAATAATAATTGCAATAATAATAACAACAATAATTTACTTTTAAAAATGTAGAAGTATTTAAACAGTATAACGATGGTGATGGTGATAATAATAATAATTTATTTTATTTACAGTACAACTTTTGTGTGTGTGTGTATTTATTGTAATATTATAAATTTTTACATTAATATTATACATTTAAACTTCTTACTAAAATAAAAGTTTATTAGCATGTTTAAAAATGTGTTCAGAAATGCTGCAGTTTATTGAAATCATATTTTTAATACCTGCTCTTCTCTCCATTAAAATTACATGCATTAAAATATGAAAATTAAACTCGCTGATATCACTCCGAAAGGTCAGAGATGTGGAAGTGTCGCCCTGCAGTGGCCTGTTTTTATTTATACTTCTGCAAATGTGAAAGCTTTCAGAAGCGCACTCGCTCTGAGGAGGTTTTTTCATTATTGCGCTTCCCGCAGGCTGATTATAAATAATGATCTGACTTTTGGAGTTCATTAATAATTGATGTGTCCTGGTAGAGGATAATGGGATTCTTGAGAGCAGGTTCCTATTCATTTATCACAGGTGATCACTGATAATGCAATGGGCGGAAGATTTATATGGTAAAACTAATGGCGTTTCAGGAAGACCGCTGCGATATGAAGCTTTAATTAGATCAACCTGATCTGTCATGTGCAAGTATATCAGACAATATTAATATTTTAGGGATATTTTGTTAAAAAGAGCACAACTGCCTCTCCTGTGCACCCTGAAACTGCTGGAATAAGGAATAGCTTGACAAAAATGAAATTTCTCGCAGAAAACCTCCATGAGATCCCCGAAACCTTCATTGAAGGCTCCATATCGGCAGCTTTGTATTCATTAGACTACTCATATAATGAATGTCCATCTGTACTTTCAGTGATGTGCGTAAATTCAAGGACACGAAGAAGCACTTTGATAAGGTGAGGGAAGATTTGGAGATCGCACAGGTGAAGAACGCCCAGGCACCTCGAAACAAACTCCATGAGGTGGAGGAAGCCACCAGCACCCTCAACTTCACCCGCAAGTGCTTCCGGCATCTCGCACTGGACTATGTGCTGCAGGTAACGTACTGTATAAACACTCATCTGCTCATTACTCCATCTCCAGACTGAACACACGCCACATATACACAGTGTATGTAAACATATAAGAGTGTTTTATATAAATCTGTTTTCTCCCATACAGATCAATGTCCTTCAAGCCAAAAAGAAATTTGAGATCTTAGATGCAGTAAGTATCGGTAATGTATTTTATTCTGGTGTATGTAAATGTGTTGATTGTGGATCCTGCAGCATCGGTATCTGTCCTGTCTTCTGCAGATGTTATCCTTCATGCATGCGCAGTACTCCCTGTATCAGCAGGGCTACAACCTCCTGGATGAGATTGACCCCTACATGAAAAAACTGGCTGCTGAGGTGAGCAGTGTTCTCCACGTACACTATTGATTTCCAGGCAGAGCACTGGCAGCCAGATTGGCCATTGATTCAGTTAGAAAAACAGATGCAAATTCATGAATTATGTAAAAAAAAAAAATCATATATATACTTGTGTGTATATATATATATATATATATATATATATATATATATATATATATATATATATATATATAATTTATTTATTTTAATTATTTTTGCCTCTTTATAGGCTTTGAACAGTTAAATACACACACTTGTATGTGTCAGAATGCCTGTCTTTGCAAGTATCCTCGTAAACACAATAGGTTAGTAAGAAAAAACTTGTGTAAGGCCGGGTGTACACTGTGCGATTTTTGCTGTCGTACAAGCTCATATGCGATTTTTAAATTTTTTTTCCCCCATCGGGAGAATTCACGTGGAAGTCGTTGATGCTCGTATGGTCAAGGCTTGCATCGTGTGAGAGGAATTTACGAGCCTCCCGGGCGACTCCTGAGCTCCCGATAATTTTTAAACAGTGTATTTGACCAGTGTATAGGCTCCTCCCCTATAACCTAATCATATACATCCACATCACATACACTAGATCTATGTATATTATTATAGCTCTGTGGCTACTATGCGACCCCATATTGTGTGGATACACCAACACACATGCACAAATCTCTAGTTGTGTTTGTTGAAAAGAATGGCTATGCTGTTCTCTGCTGAATGTTCTCCACTGAAGGCGCTTCTGAAATGAGTGAGGGTGCTCTAGCCTTAATGCACATCTATTTTCACATATATGTTGTGCCATTCATTGCTACGGTGCAAAGAGGGCTCCCTTTTTAATCACTAAAAAGCTGTCACTCATCTTAGTTCTTCGCGATCTCACAAAGTTATGTTACACGTTATTTTTTACATCACTTCTACACTTTGTAATATGATTCGCAAGCATACAGAATTCAGCACTGGACAGAACTCCGGCTTTGTGAGCAGTGAGTGGATTCTAACATAAACGCCTCTGACTGGCGTTCAAGAAATCAACAGATATGTCAGTAATTGGCTATTGCTCACTGCTTCAAAAACACGTTGTAAAGAGAAACTTTTGACTCTCCAGAGCGCAGACACAAATAGGCACTGTTTGCCATATCTATAATATTATAATTACAGCTTCAGCTGAGGGTGCTCTTGCTTTCGTTTGAACACCCCTGTAGGACAGGACCTGTCTCTGCATTTCACCAAATCATTTGCACACTCATCTTTGAATTTTCTTTCTTTTTCTATCCGAAGCTATATATAGCAGCAAGATTGAAAAGCTCCATATCTCAGCGAAAGCTCACGCAAAGCTGCCGCCGGCTCGCAGTGCAGTACAGTCGTGCCGTGTACCAACTGCTTCGATGCGATTATCAGGTTAACTGACTCGTAACATGTGCAATGGCTCACGACCTTCCGAGTGTCCGAACTCGCACCGTGTACGCCCAGTTTAACAGTATATTGGATCCGGGCAGCTCTTGAAGTGACAGCAGTCTGATATTCCTGCTGTCTGTCATTCATGTTAATCAAACAACAAAAGAGAGAATATCTCTCACTGCCTTTTGACTAAATCACTTTTGTAACTTTAATAAGAAGAAATATATATTTCTTTTACACGGTGAAGAATATGCAGTGTTTTTATACATTTGATTACTTTATACAATGTATGTAGCATTTCTTATTTATTTGTTCTATTGTAGTTTTTTTGTTGTCCTATTGCTTGTAATTAGTTTCTTATTCTTATTTAATTGCTGACTGTATACTTGTCTTCAGTACGGAGCCCGGGAAGTCATCTGTAGGAAAGAAAAAAAAACAATCCGTGGCGACGGTTTTGCAATTCGTCTCCTCAGTTTATAAACCGTACTCACAAATTCTTAAACTGTTCCCTCGGTTTAACAAATCGTAGATTAATAAACCGTACCCACGTATTTCCAATCCGTGCGCTCAGATTTTGTAAACCGTACCTTCGTTTTTCCGATCCGTAACCCACAAATTCATAATCCGTGCGCACGCTTTCGCAATCCAAAAACGTATTGATACTGACACTAGTGACAAGAATTATGACATTTTGTTTGGTATCAAAAATTTTGATATCATAAAGACCTAATTTAAAACAAAAATAACTTTATCGTGATATATATCTTTACCGTGAAATAAAATTACTCAAATCGCGATATAAGATTTTGGTCATATTGCCCGCCCATAACACATGTGTGTGTACTGTGTATATTTATATGTATATATAAATATGCATACATACATGTATACATTTAAGAAATACATGTAATATATATTTATATATAATATAAATCATATATAAATATTAATATATATATATATATACTGTATATACATGTATGTATGTGTGTGTATTTATGTAAACATATAAACACAAACTTTTATTTTGGATGCGATTAATCGTGATTAATCGATTTGACAGCACTTGATTTTATACAAGTTTAAAACAAGTTTTCATGACAAAACCAAATTATTTTCTGATAAAAGAGGTTTGATTACCCAAATACATTTTTCAGCATCTAAACAAGAAAAAACCTACCCTCAAAATAAGAAAATACTGTAGTATTCAAAATGCACAAATCTTTTTTTTAGTGGCCATAATTATGCTGTGTTTAAGCCCTGAAACACATTCACCTCAGACCAGATCTGATTTCTGTCTAATTAGTTCATCGATCAGCCACATTACATCACTGACTTCAGTATTAAACTTACCATCACATCTGAAAGTGCAGTGCTATAATGGACGGATAGACAACCAGTGCCTGTGGATAATAAACACGATCATGTTTTCCTAATACAAGAGATGACAACAAACTTACAATGACTGATTGTTCATCTTGTCATAGCTGGATCAACTGGTGATTGATTCAGCGATGGAGAAGAGAGAAATGGAGCATAAACATGCCACGATTCAGCAGCGGGTAAGAATAGATACACACATACTGTATAAACATGACATACCCTGAAATCCACTTGTTTGACTGTTACTAAAATACTCTAAAATTTGACTCGCGTCTAATGCCAGAATTAGGCTGTTAAAGATGGTAAACCTCTAAAGAAAGTTAGTGTTCAGCATTCTTCACACTGGAGTTGATTGAGGATTATTCATGCTTTAAATGAACTAGTCCAGTTACTAAAGACTATCTTTAATTCCTTTGCATAGCACAGCGTAGTTTGATTGCAAAACTAGGTTAAATTAGAAGAAAAATAAAGATAAAAGCTGTGGTGCTCATGCTGCAGTGCAAGTTGAGTCTGGCCTGCTTCGTATTCCTATCTTCATCATGTTTTCTGTCCATTTTCGAAACATTAAAAAGAAAGACAGAATGTGGACTTTAGCCCAGAGTTATTTAAAGATACCTTTTCAATTTCCTTCAGTGTTTGTACTCCTGTTCTTCTGGCAGGAGTAGAAAAGAGCTTCTGTCCTCGAATGTTCCAGTTATTAATGATGTTGAGCAGTGAGGAAGTGGATATATTTTGGGCGAACAGAAAATAGAGCTCGCTGAAGTTCAGCTTCTGACATCTAGTTCATCACCTTTCTGTAAAAAAAAAAACATTTATAGACAGATATCTACATTATATTTGCTCCTGCATCATGAGTCCCACAGATACCTAAACTCAGGCTTAGCTGCTAAACAGATGTTTGTAATAATTTTTGTATTCTGTATCTGTTGTAATGTAGCATTATTGTTATTAATTAAAAATAGCTTTTATTTTTATACTTTCAGTTTTTATTTTAATTCTAGTTATATTTTTGGTAATTTTGTTATCTACTTTTGTAATTTTTATTATTACCATCATTATTTTAAATATTACTATTCAGGTTTCATTTATTTTATTTCAGTTCCATTTTAATTTTAATTTTATTTCCAATAAATAAAAAAAACACTAGTTTTTAGTGCTTCTACTTAAATTATTTCAGGTGATTTTCGCTTAGTTTAAGTTTTTCACCTAATTTTATATTTTAATTTATTTCAGATTTACTTCAATTAACAAAAATGTTAATTTTAGATTTGCTTAAAGAAAATAGCTCTGCAAAACAGACTAATTTTAGTTCCCTTGACAGATGATTTGCAAGAGCAATGCTGCAAAGCACAATGAAAGAGATCTTTTATGTTATTTTGTGAAGTGTAAAAATATTTTCGGGTAATTCATTTTTCAGTCTAGGTAATTAATTGGAAACACTGAGTTTGAGCTAAGCATAGTTAAAAACAACCTTGCAAATTCAAAGCACTCTATTCTGGAATTGAAGTTAAGCATGTTTTTGGCCCAGTATAACATGTCAAATTGTTTCTAATCTTCATTTTTTTTCTGTTTTCTTCCATATGGCGCTCTGGGATTGTCTTCATCCTGATTTAGACACTGTTACAGGTGAGCCTTTTACTCTAAACCCCATCAAACATGGCTTCTAAAAGTCTGTAAACATTTTTATGTGACTTTCAAGATGGAGGCTATAAATAAAACATCTGCACTCTGACATTTCCTGATGTTTTTTATGGGGGAAAAAAAGTGTAGTTTCGCTCGTAATTCTGACCCAAATCTTGTGTTGTGTAACTGATGATATAATTACAGTTCAGTGAGACTGATAGATTTGTCCTACAAGCGTATCTAGCTTATGTAACGGCTGATGGCTGTCCCATCATCCTCCACTCAACACAGCAATTATTCAGTAGATGTTTCTCCCTCTATGGATTTTTTTTTCAGCTCCTTATTGTGGTTGATGAGAAGAGCAGACATTTCTCTTTGTGCTTTGCTTAAGAGATGCTTTCTGGGATTGCTTTGGATGCGGTTGATCTCAAGAAACGCTCGCAATCCATCACAACAATTACCCACAAACCATGGTGACAGTATTGGGCTGATTGCATGAGTGAGGAACATATGGTCTCAGAGCCACTTTAAGAAGAAACTTACCCATAATGTTGTGATTTTTAAACCACAGAATCCTGTTCTGTTTCTTGGTAATTGTCTAAGCTCATATCCTCCTGTATGTCCCAAATCCTCTGGTAGTTCTTACGAAACTGTTTGAAAGTGTTATGGAGTGTCTCTCTTACCGCAAAACTGTCCCTGAACATCAGTTAACCCCATTATTGACCCACAGGAATTGCTGGAAAGGGCAGAACTTAATAGAAGAGAGCTACAAACAGGAGGACGTGATTGGAATGGATCTTTTCTATTAGCTTAGCCTAGCTCTTTTTTTTGGTGAAATGCAGTTTTCAGTGCAATATTGTTCATTTTTGTTTGATTTGTAACAACTGCCAGTGTAAAAATGGGCCAAAATCAGATTAGACAAAGTAGATTACAAAGTAGATTTTTATGTTTTGAGAAAATGCAAGTGGTGTAAAACCAACACCCTGGTGTATGTGGTTGCCAGGGTGTTGGTTGGTGGTTACTAAGGTATTCTGAATGGTTGCTAGGTGGTCCAAGTCAAAAGATCCCACCAAATATTATCTTTCTGGATAAAGTGGTTGCTAAGGTGTCCTGAGTGATTACTTAGTGGTTTCTTACTAAAGTCTCTTTCTGGATTAAGTGGTTGCTAGGGTGTTCTGAGTGGTTGCCAGGGTGTTCTAAGTGGTTTTCTAAGTGATTGCTAGGGTGTTTTGAGTGGTTGCTAGGTAGTTGCTTACTGGTCTAAGTGAAAATAGCCCACCCTAATGTCTCTTTCTGGATTAAGTGTTTGCTGCAGTTTTCTGAGTGGTTGCTAGGGTGTTCTGAGTGGTTGCTAAGGTGTTTTGAGTGGTTGCTACTTGATAGGTAGTTGCTTACTGGTCCAAGTCAAAATAGCCCATCCTAATGTCTCTTTCTGGATTAAGTGTTTGCTGCGGTTTTCTGAGTGGTTGCTAGGGTGTTCTGAGTGGTTGCTAAGGTGTTTTGAGTGGTTGCTACTTGATAGGTAGTTGCTTACTGGTCAAAGTCAAAATAGCCCACCTTAATGTCTCTTTCTGGGATAGGTAGTTGCTTACTGGTCCAAGTCAAAATATCCCACCCTAATGTCTCTTTCTGGATTAAGTGTTTGTTGTGGTTTTCTGAGTGGTTGCTAGGTGGTTGCTAGGGTGTTCTGAGTGGTTGCTAAGGTGTTTTGAGTGGTTGCTACTTGATAGGTAGTTGCTTACTGGTCCAAGTCAAAATAGCCCACCCTAATGTCTCTTTCTGGATTAAGTGTTTGCTGTGGTTTTCTGAGTGGTTGCTAAGTGGTTGCTAGGGTGTTTTGAGTGGTTGCTAGGTAGTTGCTTACTGATCCAAGTCAAAAGAGCCCACCTAAAAGTCTCTTTCTGGATTGTGTTTGCTATGGTGTTCTGAGTGGTTGCTAAGTAGTTGCCAGGATGTTCTAAGTGGTTGCTGGGGTGTTTTGAGTGGTTGCTAGGTAGTTGCTTACTGGTACAATTCAAAAGAGCCCACACTAATGTCTCTTTCTGGATTAAGTGGTTGCTATGGTGTTCTGAGTGGTTGCTAAGTAGTTGCTAGGATGTTCTAAGTGGTTGCTAGGTGGTCCAAGACAAAAGAGCCCACCTAAAAGTATTCTCTGTATTTAGTGTTTGCTAGGGTGTTCTAAGCAGTTGTTAAGTGGTTTCTATGGTGTTCTGAGTTCTCAATTTCAAATAAGCAGAAGCAACATTTTCTATATTAATTTTGTTCTTACTGAATACAGTTGGTAGCACCTACTGTACAGTGAGGCACATTGTCTTTCTGGCATACTTAACAAACTTTTACTAGTGTTGATAGTTTTTTGACACATGCACTGCTGACTCATTAACATAAATCAGGTCTGTGTGTTAATTCAAAACGAAAGATATTTATGTGTGTGAGTTACAGCTTGTGCTGCAGTGAAGATCTGCAGGATCGCAGCCAGCCATCTCAAAAGGAAGAGCGTCACCTAGTATGTGATGTGAAGATTACAGAAACACCATATAATTAATCAATCTGTGAAACATCATTAATTACAGTAGATAGAGATGGTAATTTTTACAGTATCGGATAAAGTGAGCATGACGTTCTTGAAGTCTCCATTGATGCCCAGCAAGTCCAACTGCAGTTCTTATGGCATCATAGCACTTCACTACAAATAAGATGCCCTCAATTTGAGTTTTAATATTTGATCCTGTGTTTTTATCCCACTGAAATACTTTAAAATTTGATAGGCTTTGTAGTTCAAACAGATGATGGCTTTTATAAGCTCACACGTCATCGGCAGATCCTAAAATAGCGCCGCTAGTCTTCTGCAGTCTTACAATGTTTTGTGAGATGCTGCACAGAAGATTCTTCAGCCACAGCTGACAGGTATTGAAATATAATTTTTTTTTTTTTCATTTTTAAAAACAAATGAACATTCATATTTTTTTGGTTAATTGCACTTTTATATGATAATGAGTATAATCAGGGTGCGAACTACGGGGGAGCTCGGCTCCCCTTAATAAGACATGGGCTCGCCTGAAAACAGGATTTGTGAAATTTTGGGGGGGGTCTCAAAAAATATTGACAATGTGTTATTTTGACGTGCAATTTCAGTTTTGTGTAATGTGATCATCGTGGATTATTATGTGTAAAATTGCAAAAATATTCATTCATGCATGACGGCGATTTAAACCTAATTCACTTCAATAAAGATAACTATACATGCTATTCTTGTCATGAGCATCAAGGTGTGGGGGCGCTGCGGTGCAAATTCCACTCATGTTTAGAACATGTTAACTCAGAAAAAATATAAACGCTGGACTCTGCTCGATTCTGTGTTAAGGTAAGGCATGTTATTTGCAATTATGTGTTGTGGCTGGGTTGTTATAGGTCTGCGTGACTCTCGATGACTTAGGCCTAATTGAACGGAGGAATTATGGTATTCTTCTGTAGCCTGAAGACGAGTAACTTTAACCGTTGTTCATGTGAACTCAAAGACAGCCTGATGCTTTGTTTATAGACTATTTGTGGGTGGCTGTTTGTTTTTTCACCTATCAGTTTGTGTTGATAAAGTATAATAGGGTAAATCCTGTATAGTGATTTATCCTATATAGTGCTTGCATAAAGCAAGTAGTGCATACACTTGTAGCTGTTATGTATCTTTGTAAGTCATTGTAAGCCCTCTTTTGAGGCATGCGCAAGCACACAACCCGTGACAGGGATGATGGGTCATGGACTGAACATTTATTAAAGAAGAAGAAAAAAATATATATATTAAAAAAAAAAAAAATATATATATATATATATATGATTGCAGTTTGTTATAATAATACTTTATATTATTACAGAAGAATTATATTTTATATAATGTGTTTCATATTTTTATATATTTATTTTATATGACAATATATTTTTTAAATAGTTTAATGACATTTCTAACTATTGAAATTGTGCTTAATCTGTTTGCAGTTTGTTATAATATTTAATATTATTTAGGAATGTTATAATATTGATGTTTTTATATTGTTACATTTTTACACATTTATGTTATATGTAATATATTTTATATAACATATTTTTTAAATATACAGGTGCATCTCAATAAATTAGAATGTCGTGGAAAAGATTCATGTTATAATAAAAATATTTATTATTGAAGTTATTGTATTTGTTTTATTTATTTTATATTTAACATATTTTTATATATTTTATATAATTTTTTTATATTTAATTATAGTTGAATGATATTTCTAACTATTTGCTTGCACATAATCTGTTTGCCGTTTGTTATAATAGTATTTAATATTATTAAAGAACGTTCTAAGTCCCATCAAAAGTGTGATGTGTTAGTGGCTGTGAGGTGATTCCTGCGGTCTGGCGTGGGCCGGCAGCTGTATGTTAATGAGCTTTAGCTCAGGCAGCGGGCAGCAGTGGGCAGGTGGAATCGCACGTGATCGACCCTGCTGAAGCTCCACGGCTGACTGTGAGAGCTGCCAGGCTGTGTGACTCATGCAGTGCATTAACTGCACGCTCGATTGGGCTGCACACCCGTTTAGTTGAGCTCAGCCGCTTCCAGGGGATGCAATGATTTTAAAATGCATAAAACATTTAAGGATGAAGATATTCAGCAGGTTGGACTTCACTTTGGTGAGTTGCTGCATTATTGCAGTTAGTTATTCTCTTTACATTTTCCTTCTCTGCCTTTTCAGGATTTTTACCTATTAATCTTTTGAATATTCATAAAATATAAAGACATGTACTAAAAATTAGTCAAAATTGCTCTTGTAGACTGGTGTTTTATATTCAAATTCTGTTCTATATGTTAGCTTGTGTGTGAGTTATAGTATATAACATATATTATGTACTATTTTATTATATAATAACACTTAATGGATGTGTAATATTATATGGTTGATTTTCTGTATGCATTTCTGTATGATTTTTATTTTAAAAAAAATTATAAAGCTGTTTACTATATAAAAATACAACTTTTTTACAGTACGTTTATATCTATTTCTCTCTCTCTCGCTGCATGAAACTATACAGAAAATGATATATCATTTTTATTTTTATGAATTTTTTCTATATGATTTTTTATTTTATAATTTTTTTAACCTTAATCTTTCTACTTTAATATATTTAAAGGTATGGGAGCATAACTGCATTACATGCATGTGTATTTAAGTGTGGGAACACAGAAAATCAGCGGAGCTAGTGAAAGGGAGGGTGTTTTCTGTAGCATTCAGAACTTGAGTGAAGCATTTAGTCTCTGGCTTTAAGGAGACACAACTGAATGAATGCGAATGTTTGAACAGTCACCCTGCTGTGGATTTGGGTAAAATGAGTGACTATAAATAAGCCTTAATGTCTCAACCAGTTTAAGCAGAAGAAAAGACTAGAGCTTTACATTTTCTGAAGCAAATGTACCACACCACAATGCTAAAGTGCTGTGGGGGTTTGCTAAGCGGTTACTGCTGTATTCTGGGTGGTGGTGGTTTGCTTTTATATCTTAAGTGATTATATTAAACTGCAGTGTCTCGCGTATTTAATCAGGGCGCATCGAATGATGTTGCGCAATCTTGTTTAAGATGCAAGAGCGCAGTGTTTGTGTTCAAAGAGCTCTTTCATTCTCTGTCAGACCTGCTGCTGAAGTGTTGAAGCAGCTTTATCTTGAGGTCTTCAGAGGGTTCAAGAGAGGCCAGAACGCTTTGAAAGTTGCCACAGATAGATAGGAAGCTGAGGGCTGAAACTTTTTAGGGCTGTTTGTTTGGGTTGTGAAATGATCTAGTAATGAAGATGTGTTGAATGACCCTGTTTATCTCTAATCAGTGTGTCGTCAGTGCAGTTTACAACACATGCTGACAAAAAATTGGTGTAGGCTTTACTTTACTTTCAACAGTTTTTACTCAGAAATTTATACTAAATTTCACTATTAATTACAAAGAAACAGCAAGTTACAGATTGGATTAAATGGAAAATTTGTAAGTAGAAACTCTGAAATAATATTTTCTTGTAAACATTCTCCAAAAATGTTTATTTACAACTTAACAAATTATTTTTTTAGAGTGCTGTTTTGATTGTATTGGGCTCTTTAGGACATGTTTCTTTCAAGGTTCAACTTTGTCTTTAATGTTTCTCCTGAAGTTCCTTAGGAATACACACAAATGAGGCAATTGTTGACACACGATAAGAGTAAAGAGCTGGAAAATGAATGTGGATAACAGCTACTCTACCAAAGTTTGGAAAAATTACGATTTATGTTTTTCCAAGAGGTAACAGTAAAACTGTAATATTGCTGAATTTTCAGCATCATAACTCCAGTCTTCAGTGTCACACGGTCCTTCAGAAATCATTCTAATATGCTGATTTGTTGCTCAGTTATTATCAAGTATTATTGGCGTTCAATTATTAGTAATGATTCTTATGATTTTCAGTGTTGAAAACAGTTTTTGCTGCATAATATTTTTGTGGAAACCAATTTTGTGGTGCATTTTTCAGGATTCTTTGATCAATATGAAGATAAATTAGCAAAATTGTAATATATAAATGACTTTTTTCTTTCTTATTTACCCCAAACCTTACTGAATGGTAGAGTATCACAGTTTCCACAAAAATATTAAGCAGCACAACTGTCTTCAACATTGATAATAATAAGAAATGTTTCTTGAGCAGTAAATCAGCATATTAGAATGATTTTTGAAGGATCATGTGACACTGAAGACTAAAGTAATGATGCTGAAAATTCAGCTTTGCATCACAGAAATAAATTACATTTGAAATATATTAAACAGGAAAACAGTTATTTTAAATTGTAATAATATTTCAAAATATTACTGTTTTACTGTATTTTTGATTAAATAATTGCAGCCTTCATGAGCATAAGAGACAAAAACTTTACAAATCTTAATTATTCCTAACTTTTGGCCAGTGGTTTATGTCATTTAGTATTTGAAAGTTAATGAGTTCATATTAAGATCTCTGACTTTTGATTGCATGTTTAGGTATTTTGGTAAATCAGTTTGAGACAGTTGAGATCTGTTGCGAAATTCTAGAGGAGACATTAGGGGGTGTTTTTATCAGAAGACCTTTCAATTTGCTCTTCGTTCGATCTCAGTTGTTTTTTTCTACATTGAACTTTCAAATCCAATGCTGTACTTTTATTAAAGTCTTTCCCCTGGAATCGCGTCCTTCTGGTGCTTTCGATGTCTCACTGGGTTTATAATGTTATACCATTAAGCACATGTGATGGCTAAAGTGTTAGCCCAGCTGACAGCATATCATTCCTCCACTCAGAGATAATCAATATAAATGACCTGCAACAATGAGGTTGCCATAAGGACCTCCTATGATGATTCACCTCTCAGATACAGAGTTGAGAGCATTGAGTGTGCTGCGAAAACAGGCCATTATTGTGAGTGGTGAGTGTGAATATGTGCAGCTCATCGCTGGTAATCGCTTGGATATGCTCGCATGCTTACGCAACAGCTTGCGTCATCTTCAAAAAGCTCTGGTGGGACATCTGAGAGCGTTGGATGAGTCACTCCTAGTGTGTGTTGTAGATGCATAGAGAGAAAGGGTTGTGCATGAATTTGTGCATCTGTTCTACTTACACCCTCCTGTTTAATAATGAAGCATTACCACAGGCAGAATGTAATGTATTTTGTTGCATTGGTGGATTTCATGTATTTGACCTTCACTTGATGTTTATCTCTTGTTCTAACACTCCACTATTGTTTTGTCATTCAGGACTTTGCGTATGACGACCCAAAGTTGGAGTTTAACGTGAATGCGCCCAACGGATTGGTGATGGAGGGCTATCTGTTCAAAAGGGCCAGTAACGCCTTCAAAACATGGAACAGGTAGGTTGAATCTGGTTAACTGCAAGGATCTAAGCAGATATTCAGGACTGGGTAGAACCAATTATATACACGTATATCATGTTTTTAATGTATTTTAATCAATTTAATTTGTTCATTGAAATTAATCTGTCTTTGTAAATTCCATATCGCTTGATCATGAGTCTGAATAGTCATAGTTTGCTTTTAATCAGGCATGCAACTAGGTCATGGTTGGGTTTTATGGATGCAACAATATGCAAGCAAAAAAAAATCATAATTATTTAGGGATGATATGTTGCACTGATATGTTGCATAAACATTCTGGCCTGATACTGATATTATTTTAGTGTTATAGATATTCAAATTCTATGTTATTATGTCTAAATAAATTAAAATTCAAATATTAAAAACTAACTACAAGTGAATTTAGGCATCACAACATTAAAGTGTGGTATGAAAAAAATCATAATAATTTTGAGACTTGATTACAATCAACAGTGTTATTAAATAATTTATTATTGTTTTTATTTATTTCAATTATTATTTATTAAACAATTGTTTTATTTAATTATTTAAAATTATATTTTTAAAGAATCATTTTTAATGAGTTACTGACAATAAAATTAATATAAAAGTAAAAACTGAGGAAGTGAGCATGAACTATTAAATATCCAATATCGATATCCATTAAATAAACTCTAATATCAGTGTTATTTGTTTTTTTATTATTGTTATTATTAATATTATTGATTTAAATTGTTATTTATTAAACAATTGTGTTATTGAATTATTTAAAACTATATTTTTAAAGAATCATTTTTAATGAGTTACTGACAGTAAAAGAAATATAAAAGTAAAAACTGAGGAAGTGAGCATGAACTATTAAATATTCAATATCGATATCCATTAAATAAACTTTAATATCAGTGTTATTAAATTGTTTTTTATTATTGTTATTATTAATACTATTTATTTAAACTGTTATTTATCAAACAATTGTGTAATGAAATTATTTAAAATATATATATATTTTTTAAGATTAACTTTGAGTTTGATGACAGTAAAGGTAATAAAAGTAAAATTTGTGGAAATGACCATGCACTATTAAATACCCAATATCGGTATCCAATTAAAAATATCAGTAGATAATCATTATAATACAAATGTATCATTATATAGTAAAATTATGTATTATTTCAATTTTTGAAACCGAGCATGCCAATGATTAGTTATTACATTTATAAAAATAAGTAATTAATAACTAATTCCTTGTCTCTTATATCCTTGTATTGCTTTGTTTTTTTTTTTTCAGGCGGTGGTTTTCCATCCAAAACAGCCAGCTGGTTTATCAGAAGAAACTAAAGGTGAGTTCAAATCAGCATTTAGTAAGTGGACACATAAGTCACAGCAGTTTAGACGGCTTAAGTAATCTGTCTTTGATATTAATGAGCAGCTTCATTATACAGTACCTAGAGAGAATGTACTGAGTTTTCATGTATCAGCAGAATTCTTCAGCTCACAATCAATGATGGTGAATCTTCACCTCACAGGTCACTGCGCTGTTAGATACAGTAGTTGTAGTTTAGCCAGGCAGCATATCTCCAGAGCACTCAGTCTTTTTGAAGATAACAAACTCATTCCTCGACAAATCAATGCATGCACACAGTGCTGCCTGCTCTTCATCCGTTTGGAGAATATCCATTTATTTCTGCTGAAGTGCTTGCTCAGGTAGTCTGTTTAAATCACTGTGACGCAGTGCTGTTTAATGCATTTCAGAGCCAAATTTAGAGCGCTTTTCTTCAAGTCAGCCAATTTACAGGCTCACTGAAGCGTCTTCATCTTCCACAGGATTCGCTGACGGTTGTTGTGGAGGACTTGAGACTCTGTTCTGTCAAACCTTGTGAAGACATCGAGAGGAGGTTCTGTTTTGAAGTCGTGTCGCCCACCAAGTGAGTCCTTAACCAGCTTCTGTGCAGTAAAGCTCAGACTTTAGATGATCATTTTGCTCTTAAAGGCTTTTGGAGCTGCATAACTAGTAGTAATTGTGTTGTATGGATGTATATTGTAGGAGCTGTATGCTACAGGCAGAGTCAGAGAAACTCCGGCAGGCCTGGATCCAGGCGGTTCAAGCCAGCATCGCCTCAGCGTACAGAGAGAGTCCAGACAATTATTACATTGAGGTTTGTACAATCAACATGCTAAATCACTATAACATAGGATGAACATTGGTTTGATCAACGAAAAAAAATTAATCAAATAAATAAAAAACAAATGAAACAGTAACAAAGTCAAATAAGCCTGTGTAATAAAGCTTCAAAAATTATGCATCCCTATTGTTCAACCTTTTGACGATATTCAAGTTGAACTGGCTTAACAACAACACAAGCAAACATAATTTCACTGTTGTCAAGTAGATTAAAAATGCAAGTAAAATACAGTTGAAAACAAACATTAAATATATTGTTTTATTATTTTCATTTTACTAATAAAATGTTGCAAAATGTTTTTCAAATGAACTGTTGATTGAGTATTTTAAACTAATTCCTTAAAAGAATAAATAATAAAATGTACTATTTTTAAACAATAATGGTAATATTAATTATTATTATAACAATAAGTAGTTTTCAAGTTTTGAAAAAATTACAAATAATAAAAAAGAAAACCTAATTAGAGGATTTTTTTGAAAACCTTTTTGATGAACACAACTGAATCAAGTAAATTAGTGTTTTGAACCGATTGTTTGTAAACCACAGTTAAAAAAAACTGATTCACATAAATGATTCAGACTTCCCAAGTCTGTTATAATTTGTGCTACTGACATTTAAAGCTGTTATATGTTATATTTTCCCCCAAATAACTCTTTTGTGTCTGTCTCCAGCGTTTGGACCGGACCGCTTCGCCCTCCATCAGCAGTATAGACTCAGCAAACGAGCCCAGAGAGCGCAGTGGCAGGGGCGAGAGCATTCTGCAGCGTATCCTGTGTCTGCCGGGAAACCAGCAGTGCTGTGACTGTGGGCAGGCTGAGCCACGCTGGGCCAGCATCAATCTGGGCATCCTGCTCTGCATCGAGTGCTCCGGCATTCACAGGTAAGGCATAGAAGAGATCATAATCATGATCTAATAGGTTTCCTAGTTGGATTAGGTCAGATCTGATTCTCTCATTAGAGGCAAGCCAGTGACCATAGAGTTGTCAGGACAAGAGAGAAGGTCAGCGACTGCGGTTAATTTCCTCCAGAAACACACTGATAAATATCAAGGCATCAAGATAATAATAATAATAATATTACTAGCAATATATGATTTTTATGTTTTTTTGCAAAAGATGGAAATGGCTGAATAATAATATTAAGAGTAATAATAATAATAATTATTACCAATTTATACAAAATTGTTTTACAGTGGAAATGGTAGAATTATAATAACCTAATAACAATAATAATACTAATTAATATGTTGTTGTTATTATTGTTGCTGTTGTTACTATTAAATTATTAATAATATTATATTATAATAATTATTATTATTAGCAAATCATGCAAAATTGTTGTGCAATGGAAATGGTAGAATAATAATATTCTAATAATAATATTTAAATATATGTTGTTGTTATTATAATAATAGCAGAAATATTATTTATTAGTCATTTATGCAACATTGTTTTCTAATGGAAATGATAGAATAATCTAATAATAATAATAATTAAATATATCTTGTTATTATGATTAATATACAATTGTTGAATAATATTAGTAATAGTAATAACAATAATAATTAGCGATTTATGCAAAATGAAAATGGTTTATTATTATTAATTGTTATTTATCCGTTCCTACTGCAAAACAATTTTACATAAATTATGATGTTGTGTATACACTTTGTGTAATTATTAGTAATTTATCCAACATTGTTTTCTAATGGAAATGATAGAATAATCTAATAATAATAATAATTCAATATATCTTGTTATTATGATTAATATACAATTGTTGAATAATATTAGTAATAGTAATAACAATAATAATTAGCGATTTATGCAAAATGAAAATGGTTTATTATTATTAATTATTATTTATCCGTTCCTACTGCAAAACAATTTTACATAAATTATGATGTTGTGTATACACTTTGTGTATACATTCAAAAATGAAAAGTATAGGTAATAGTAGATTGTAATTACAATTTGACAGTTTTTGTGGTTTCTTGCAGCAAAAACAGTAGTAAACATGACCATTTCCCACCCTTTGCTTGATTTTAAAAGAGCAAGTAAAATCATATTTTCCATAATATGACCCCTTTAAGGAGTTCATGAGATATGTTAAAGGGGTCATATGATGCGATTTCAAGTTTTCCTTTCTCTTTGGAGTGTTACAAGCTGATTGTGCATAGATAAGATCCCTGAAGTTGCAAATACTGAAGTCTCAAACCCAAAGAGATATTCTTTATCAAAGTTAAGACTCTGCCACGCCCCCCTAAAACGGCTCGTTCTAACACGCCCCCACATATCTACCTCACTATGTGGAAATATTAGCATAATGCCGCCCAAATGTTCACGCAAAGAAAGAAGGCGTGGTTTCAGTAACCGCAGTTAGTGTTGAAGCAGCATGTCAGGGAGACGCTGCGTGTTTCTAGGCGAAAGCAAAAGCACTTTATTTGGCCTTCCGAAAGTAGATGCATTTAGGAATCTTTAAGATTACTTACAACAGAACAGCAATGCATTTTATGGACGACCGTTTCATGAACCTAGGAGAGGAGGTAATTCTGACTTTGCTATGACAATCTGGCACTTCTGAATCAGCTACTGTTTTGTTATTAGTTTAAGTATTTGCTACTGACTGGTCAAATGCGGAGTTTTGCGCATCGTGCGTGTGTGTGATCGTGTGTGTGTGTGTGTGTGTGTGTGTGCGCGCGTGTGTGTGAGAGAGAGAGAGAGAGAGAGAGAGCTAGCGTCACATCACATCACAGTGGAGTCAGCTGTCTTAACCCTTAACCGTGGCTTGTGTACTGCAAACACATAGCAGCTTTATCACTGTGTCTGTCACGCGACTCTGTTCCCCTTTCAGGCTCTGTCTTTACATTTATTTTGAAAGATGAAGCTTGCGATTATGGTAAGGGGCGTTACATTTCCGACGAGTGCCTGCGGTGTTCGGCCAATCACAATGCACTGGGTCAGCTGGCCAATCAGAGCAGACTGCGCTTGTCGGAAGGAGGGGCTTTGTAGAAAACGAAGCGTTTGAGAGAGGCGGGGCATAGAAAACCTACAATAATGTGTTGTTTGAACATTAAAGCATGTCAACATATTCTGTTACACCAAATACACAAAATAATGATCTTTAAAAAAGCATCATATGACCCCTTTAAGAGTTTGACCTACTGAATATCAGATTCTGTTTCAAAACATGAGACATGCTGGCTGTTTATGCAGTCCGCCGTGTCTGAAATATCTTATGAATATTCATGCTCTTTCTGACGCCACACCTCTCACTCTGAGCTCACATGAGACTGTTGCTCCAAACAGTGTGGCACACCATCACACAGTCTTTGCCCGTTCTGACTTGGTTGCCTGGAAACGTGCTGATCTAGTGGGCAGAATGCACATTTACGGCTGCCACTGTTCCTCTCAGGGAAGCATGTTGTCTAGTGATGTCAGCCGTCCCAGTGCTGCTTTCCTCAGCTTGAGTGGGAAACAGCTTGCTTGAATTGTTAGTGAATGGTGGGAGTTTGAAGCCCTTGGAGAACTTTAGCAGCTCAGACCAGAAACCTTTCTCAAGTTTACAATCAGAGATTGGCTGATACTGCTTTTTTTATTTGTGTATTTGAGTCCAGTAACAGATACTGTATGCAAAATGTTTTTTTTTTAGTATTATTTTATTTCAGTTTTTTTAATGTAATAATAAATAGAAAATCATTAGACTACAAGAAAGAATAGTAACCATCATCACATGGAAGTTATGCAAAATTAATAAGAATTATAAAAACAACATCAATCATTATCATTATGCAATTTTATTTTTGCAACGTTATTAACTTTGTAAATGTTAAAGTTATTAACCTTAACTGTCACCCCCCATTTTTTTAAATAGGCATGAAAGTGCACTATCCAAACTTAAATTGTTGTAAGTTATGAACACTTTGGAATACAGACCTAAGGTTGGTCTCTTTGTAAAGAAGAAAATCAGCAGATTATTGCAAAAGTGGATTTTTTTCAAAAAATTAAAGTATCAAAAAGTGATATGTTTAAATTTACTGTAAATAAAATGCACTATATTAGTTTTATATTATTTTATTTATAATAAATATTTGACATAACAGGTTTTACTCTAAAATTAGTATAAAATTAAAGCCTTATGTCTAAATAAGTTATGTTGCAAATTTGAAGTTGATATGAAAAAAATTTAGGTTCCAGTGAGATTTTATTTAGGGCGTTATACCACAAACAGCCACCGGGTGCCATCCAAACTCCATTGAACTTTTTTTTTATGCATTTGTCTGTCACATATGTCTAGATTTCTTTGTCGATATTACTTCTATCTCAAAATAACTACCAAATATGGAATCCTGAGACTCAGACCTTTCCAATAATATGTTTTTTGTCAAGATTCTAAAAGAGCGTAATGCATTTTGTAATATGACACTTGACACTGCCCACTAAGGAGGAGGAGACTGCCAAAAGATTTTAAAGTACCATTTCCATGGTAACGCAGTGTCCGATTTCAAAATGGTTTTCACAGGATGAATCTTGGCTTTCAAATGATATAATTTATGATGATTACTGGAACGGTGACAGTTATGGGGTTAATAATATTAATAACAATGAATAATAGCAACGGCAATCATCATATCATCATAATTTATGACATTTATAATAATAATAACAATATACTCAAATTACTATTGTTGTTGTTGTGGTTGTTGAACTATTTTTATCATATTTAACTATTGATAATCAAATTTGCACAAATAAAGTCCGTTAAAAAACAATAGTGATGATGATTGTTGTTATTTAAATTAAGTTGTTTTGCAGTCAAAATGGTTGCAAATGTGGTTTCATCTTTTTTTAGGTTGTGTGTACAATAATTTAGCATTATGTCAGCATTGCATGTATAATTTGTGGAGAAAACAATCCCTTTGACAAGCATTCAAGATGGCAGTTAGAGATGAGAGAAATATACTTGAAATTTGTATTTTTTTTAATTAATAATGAAACGTGTAGATAACAGTTTTTGTTGTGGCATTTGTGTTGTAAAACAAATCAACAAAATAAAATTTTTTGAACCGATGTTTTCACAGGAGTTTGGGAGTTCATTGTTCAAAGGTCCGTTCTCTCACCCTGGACTCATGGGAACCAGAGTTACTGAAGGTCTGCTCAAATATCCAGATTTTGTTTTCCTTCTAATTTCTCTTGGATGACCTTTAACTGTGACATGAGCAAACACGCTCTGACAATAACTGCTGTCTGTTCTGTTGTAATGCAGCTGATGTGTGAACTAGGAAACAGTATCATCAACCACATCTATGAAGGCAGCTGTGAAGAGCAGGGCCTGAATGGCAGCACTGATGTTTTGGTGTTTGAGTCTGTGGTGGACAGTGTCACAGAGGAGGGTGAGTGAACCACTGTGTGACTTGATGGTGTTAACCAAGTGTTCATTTTCCATACTGACTGTTGAAGCAGATGGATCATGTGTTACATGTGTTTTTGTAATGTTCAGAGTGTGAGGTGTCTGAAGACTCCAGCAATGAGACTGAATTGGAGCCGGAGGCGTCAGATCCAGAAGATTTGAGAGAACTGGATCCTGGAGCATTACTCTATAAGGCCTGTCAGGCACGAAATCTGCCCGTCATGGCTGAAGCTCTGGCACATGGAGCTGACGTCAACTCAGTGAATGAAGAGGATGAGGGGAAAAGCCCCCTTATTCAGGCTGTGATTGGAGTGAGTCATTCCAAAAACATTCAGATGCATTGCACATGCACATATTAGCAGTAACCTAGATAAGAATTGATTTTAAACTTCCAGCTCACTTTAATGGAATGTTAAATAACCATATGCCGTTTTGAGGTTGTAAAGCCCTAATCCTCTGGTTTTCAACATCCAGGGTTCCTTGATAGCCTGCGAGTTTCTGCTCCAAAATGGTGCAGATGTCAACCAAAGAGATCACAGGGGAAGAGGCCCACTGCATCACGCCACATATTTAGGTCATACTGGGTGAGTGCATGCTCACACACTCTTTTCAGATTTACAGATGCCTTTTGCTGTCTTTTGGTGAATTGGAATGTCAAGCAGATTGTATATGAGTTGAACAGACATGAATGTCACCACAAAGTCATAATTATGAGTGGGAAACTTTCTTTAAGCCCAGTGTTTCTGAGAAATATATATTTAAAATAATATATATATTTGAAAAATATAGTTACATTTTATGCAGAAATAGTACTTCATCTTGCTCCAACCAAAGTTATTTGAATGCACCTGATGTTGTAATTACAACCTCCCAACCCATAAGATACAAACTTCCCAGGAGGACTTGTCATACTTGTAGTACTGAATATTTACTATATTCATATACTGTGGTATTTACGAGGTACCACAGTTTGAAAGAATACCATGGAAGACATTTGAAAGAATTCCATGGTTTTACATTGGTACAAGTCCAACGAACATGTTATGACGATGCATATCCAATAAAAAAAACGGTAATATCATGATAAGATTTCCAAAAAACATGGTAGCACAATATTATTTCTGGTATTTATTTGTAAGTTCTCGGAGGCTGTAGCATTTTAGCAGGTCTCTTACTGCATATGCAGCTTCGCATCAAGCTGATTATTAAATATTCAATGCTTGAATATTCAAATTAAATGGAAGCTTTTCTACAACTGCATTTTCTTTATCTTGTGTTTCCAGTCAAGTGTGTTTGTTCCTGAAACGAGGAGCGACCCAGAATGATGGTGATGAGGATGGCCAGGACCCACTGAGCATAGCAGTTCAAGCCGCTAACGCTGACATAGTTACTCTGTAAGTTAAAAAAGTTCCAATGCATGTGTATTTGCTCATGCAAGTTTTACCCAGACAGTATTTACACTACCATTCAAAGGTATGGAGTCAGAAAGATTATATTTTATCAAAGAAATGTGTCCTTTTATTCAGCAAGGATGCATTATATTGGTCAAAAGTTTTTTTTATTTGGTTAGACATTTATAATGTTACAAAAGAGTTCTATATCAAATAAATGCTCTTATTTTGAACTTTATAATCATCAAAGAATCCTGAAAAAAGCATAACATTTCCACCAAATATGATTTCTGAAGGATCATGTGACACTGAAGACTGGAGTAATGATGCTGAATATTCAGCTTTGCATCACAGGAATAAATTACATACTAAAGTATATTCAAATAGAAATTATACAACTGTTATTTTAAGTTGTAATAATATTTCACAATATTACTGTTTTTACTGTATTTTTGCTCAAATAAATGTAGCCTTAATGAGCATGAGAGACTTCTTTAAAAAACTTTACAAATCTTACTGACCCCATACTTTTGAATGGTAGTGTATATAAACAATTATACAAAGTTTGATTCCAAACCAAACCTCTCTTTGTTTCTTTTCTCTATTTCTCTCTCGACAGGTTACGTCTAGCACGTATGAACGAGGAGATGCGCGAGTCGGAGGGTCCGCTCGGTCAGCCAGGTCAATATTCTAGCAGCAGTCCCACAGAGCAGCAGTATAAGAGATGCATACAAGAGTTTATCTGTCTCAACATAGCCGAGTGCTAGAGAGCCCAGCATAGAGCTTTTTTCCCATTATTCCCACCATGACCTGCCATGTGTTTATCTGTAAAGACGGGCCAGTCTTGCTGGGAATTCCAGCTAAACCAGCTTCAGGTGGTTTTAAATGGTTGCTGTCTAGTCAGATTTGGACCAAGCTAATTTAGTTGATTGATCAGGTGAACTTGCAGCCCATGGGGCTGAGTTTAACCTAGTGGACCATCTTTCTCAAACTGGTTAGGGCTGGTTAACCATGTCCCAGATCTGGTTACCTAGCTTGACCACTTCATATGCTGCAGAGTAGTCACATGATTGACTGGCCGCCATAGTTTGGCCTAGCAAGCAGTGATGCTACTCATTTGAAAGTGACCTGTGATTGAGGTAATTGTGGTGGTATTGGTCAAATACCGATTACACAGACTATCACACTCGCTGATCTGTATCTAAGTCGTTTAATGAACTAACCTTCAGTATTAGCTTCTATACACACACCTGGCTGTATTTTCACTCTTCACTTACTTTACACTTCAAACTGTTTTATACAGTATGTTAGGCAGCTGTCCATCTATTCTAACAGTGTTCATCTAGTGGCATTTTTGTACACATGGTTTAAACAGGGATGGGGCGCTTAAAACTGTGTTTTGTGCTTGCAAACGCATGAGAGAGAGTGGGATAAAAAATTGTGATTTATTATATGTCATAAATGTATAACATGTCTAATCTACTAACTGAACATTTTTGTCGAAGGCCACTGTTTTGCACTTTTTCTTAGCTCCACTGTTGTTTCTGTTCACTTTTTTTGGATGTTGTATAAAATGCCTCAAATGGGATTTTATGCTTTTTTTGAGTACCACCCAGAGCAATAGTGCAATGATACGACATGATTTTTTTTTGTACTGTGGTAACCGATTGTATTTTTGTAACTTAATATACTTTATTAATTTTACCGTTCACAACCAAACTCCAGTTCAGACACCAAAAACCGAAAGGCCAATTTAATTACTAGGTGATAAATTCAACAATTACCATTCAAAAAGTTTGGGGTCAGTAAGATTTTGTAATGCTAAGTCACTTATGCTCATCAAGGCTGCATTTATTTGATGAAAAAATACAGTAAAAATAATGTGAAGTGTTATTACATTTTAATATAACTGTTTTGTATTTTAATGTATTTTCAAATGTAATGTATTGCTGTGATGCAAAGCTGAATTTTCAGCATCATTACTCCAGTCTTCAGTGTCACATAGTCCTTCAGAAATCATTCTAATATGCTGATTTGGTAATTTTTTTATTATTATCAATATGGAAAACAGTTTATATTTTTGTGGAAACCATGATACATTTTTTCAGGGTTTTTTGATAAATAGAAAGTTCAAAGCATTAACAGCATTATTTTGAAATGGAAATCTTTTATAACATAATAAATATCTTTTACTGTCACTTTTGATCAGTTTAATGCATCCTTGCTGAATAAAATTTTTTTTTTTTTAAACAATCATACCGACCCAAAACCTAAATGGTAGTGTATATGTTAATTATGGTAGTGTATATGTTAATATATAATGTGGTAGTTTTATTTTTATTTGTTCATTTCTGTTATCTTTTTAGTGCATTGATTGCTGTTGCTCTGGTCTGTTTGGTTTCCTGCTGCTTTTTGTCCTTCATGAATCTGCGCGTGTAAATGAACTCTCATAATACAGTCTCAACATCTCGCCAAAACTTATGGATAAAAGATGAACTCCCATGATATACGTCTTAACTACTGGATGACACTGTAAGAAAGTTAACATGTGATGTCATATAAACACTATATATTCCTGGGAGTCATAAATACTCAAGATCCCAACCAAAGAGTACAGACAAAAACAGCACTCGTTGAGAGAAAATTCATTTATACATGTGTTGTCTGTAGTTTGTGAACAGGCTAGAGTACTGTAAAGTTTTCCCTGACACTTTTGGGGTCAAAGGTCATTGGTTGGTGTGTTTTGTCTCTCTCTCTCTGGCCAATGAAATTGTAGCACTTTCTGTTTAACATGAACGTTTTGTTTTGTGAATATCAAATGAGTATTACTCCCGAAGTGACAAACAAATGACATTTTGTGAAGAATGCAGCCAAAGGGGCACCGATATTTAAAGGGGTCATATGATGCTGCTAAAAAGAACATTATTTTGTGTATTTGGTGTAATGAAATGTGTTTATGCGGTTTAAGGTAAAAAAAAAACACATTATTTTCCACATACTGTACATTATTGTTTCTCTTCTATGCCCCGCCTTTCTGAAACGCGTCGATTTTTACAAAGCTCATCGGTCTGAAAAGCAAGGTGTGCTGTGATTGGCCAGCTATCCAGTGTGTTGTGATTGGCCGAATACCTCAAGCGTGTGACGGAAATGTTACGCCCCTCACCATACTGTTGATGCCGTGTCCCGACCTCGTTCCGTGTAAACATAAAACGATGTCTGCATTTGTGATCAGAGATTGTCTTCACGACATGGCGGCAGTGGCAACAACAATACTACAGCGAGAATAAAAGTTACGCCTTCTTTCTTTGCGTGAACATTTGGGCGGCATTATGCAAATCTTCCCAGATAGTGAGGTAGATATGTGGGGGCGTGTTAGAATGAGCCGTTTTAGGTAGGCGTGGGTGACTCTTAACTTTTATAAAGAATATCTCTTTGGATTTGAGACTTTAGTCTTTGCAACTTTACAGATCTTCTTTATGCACCAAGAGCTTGTAACACTCCAAAGAGAAAGTAAAAATTGAAATCGCATCATATGACCCCTTTAAAAAAAAATACTATATAACAAGATATGTTCTTGATTGTGGCTGTAGCTCATAACCTCTTTTATTGCTTGCTTTCTTATTTCTGCTTTTCTTTTCATGTCGGTGTCATTATAAAATATGTCTGAATATTGAATAACTGAGCATTCTTCTGTAAATTAGAACCTCTGCAACTTCTGTTTTTCTTTTTGCGCTTGCGCTTTTATCTGTTCTCTCCTCCTAAACAGAAAAGAATCATGGCAATAAATGAAACATGACTGAAGTACTAACTGCTTGTGCTTGCCTTCTCTTCTCCTGCCTCTTTCTTCTCTGTAGTGCTTTGCGGAGTTACTGTGCAATATTACATAACCATCTGCATTAACTCACAAACTTACTGATTTTGCTGCTGTAAGTGTTTTTCTTGTGAGGTCTTGTTTAAAGTTTTTTTGTTACCCTCAAATTCTGTTCTTGTGTTTGGGATCCTAGAGACCCCGACACTCTACATTTAAAATACTAGTATTCATTTTGAAAGTAATTCATTTTTATTCAAATGTCCTCTGACTGAATCAAACCCCAGAACATGAGGGTTAAAGTTATATATTATTTATTAACTATATAATACAAACATACACTACCGTTCAAAAGTTTGAGGGTTGGTACATTTTTTTTATATATATATACTTTTAAAAGTTCCTTATGCTCACACAAAGGCAACATTTACTTGATTAAAAATGTAGAAAAATCAGTAATGTGAAATATTATTACAATTTAAAATAGCTGTTTTCTATTGTAATATATTGTAAAATGTAATTTATTTCTGTGATGCAAAGCAGAATTTTCAGCATCATTACTCGTCTTCAGTGTCATATGATCCTTCAGAAATCATTCTAATATGCTGGTTTGCTGCTCAAGAAACATTTCTTATTATTATCAATGTTGAAAACAGTTGGGCTTCCCAATATTTTGTGAAAAACGTCACTTTTGTTCAATTTAATGCTTCTTTGCTGAATAAAAGTATTAATTTCTTTTTTAAAAATCCCCAATATTTTGAACGTCTATTATTATTATTATTATATAATTGACAAAAAAGCTAATTGTTTATGGTTGTCCTATAGACTTTCATTGTAAATTTATAAAATTCAATAGAACTTCTATTTAAACAGGAATGGGACAGAACTCGACTTTTATTTAGAATCTCTCTTTCAATGGTTTTTGGGCAGACACTAGTCAGTACGCATGAGTACCCATCCTGGGAAGACCGGGACAGTCTCCTCATTGTAAATCAAGCATGAGAAATTCACACAGTTTAGCAAAGTGTTCAAACCCACTCTTTGTCCCCTTCAAAGTTTCAGTTGTTGCCATGCTTACCCAGACAGTACAAAGACCCTATACGGCACAAGAAGGCTCATTTTGATAGGGCTGCATAGTGCTGTTTCTGTCCCTTTAATTCGAACTCTAAATCTCTGAAGTGCATTAAAACCCTCTGAAAGCACTGTTACAGACTTGATCTCCATACTTTGCCATTCAGAGACCTGCTTTTGCGTTAGTAAAGCTTCCAACATAAGATATTTACCATCTTTTTACATCAATTTTATAAAAAAGCATCCATTCACATTACAGCTGCATTTCAGGAGTTATATGTACAGTCACATTAACAGTGTTTGATCCCATTTTAGGTGACGCCACGTACCTGGACATTTTCCGAGAGTTTTCCCATATGGCATCCCACAATCCCGAGAAGCTGAAACGGAGGAGCGTTCACTTCCGTCACTCCTTCAGGTAGTTAGATGATATCTATTAGGCATCTGTAAAATAAATGTTATATATATATATATATATATAAAATATGTTTTTCTTTTTTGAATCTAGAGTGTGACAGATCAACTTTTAAACTTTGGTCACCAATCAAGCTGGAGCAGAAGACACTTTGACTGGCTGATATCATAAGTGGACTTTAAACGATAATTATGGACGTGTTGAATGTTTGCATTGATTTGAATGCTATTTTTGTATCTTTATGGGGTCAGCTGGACTTATCCCCACTGTTTGGTGTTTATTTTCTTCATTTGCATTCTTCTTCTTTTAGCCATTGACAGTAACAGGCACTTAATTAAGCACTAAATGTCAAAACATCTGCCATTTATGGTTTAACTGTTAAAACATATAATCAAAAAAATCATGCATGCTCATGATCACAAAAATGATCTCAATACTATTATTTCAAGCATCACTATTATTATCCTCTATAATGAAATATATCCGGCGCTGATTATTCTTTCTGTTTTTAAAGCAGTTGGAATAAGGAAGTTGTTTTTGGAGAATCTGCAGTGATTTTGTCTGTTGCTGTTGTGATGAATGTACTGTTTTGTATCGACTATACTGGTGTAGTCTTTATATTTTATCTGTACAGCCACTATAAATCATTGCAAATTCAAATACAGATATTGTATATTGTCTTTTTAGATGCAAATTGATAATATATCATAAAATGATGGTATTTTGTTAAAAATGCAAAAACATTGAGTGGACCTTTTGTTGTGCAAAATAAATATATATTAAAAAAAATCAGCTGGTTTTGAGATTTAAAAAATTGGCAATTAAAATGACAATTTTGCTGCATAATAACCTGGGTTATTTACACATGTGACGCATCAAGTAAGGGAGATAAATTATTAGATTTTTTTTTTTTTTTGGTTACAGTATGTTTTCCATAAAAATGTCTCAAAAAAAGATTTTGCCCGCACAATTTCATGTATTTTGGCTGAAGACACCGTAAGTTTGGCCATTAAGAGACTGAGAGTTACCTTACATTCATTAAGTTTGACATTTCAACCATTCCGGACCAAATGAATCAGTCTTATGAACCGGCTCTTTGTAATGAATCAAAAACATGCAGTGAGATCACAGTAGTCCGATTCCCAAACGAATGCCTCGTTTGTGAACTGGTTCTTTTCCCGAACGAATGAATCGTGTGAGTCGGTTCTTAAAGTGAATCAAGAACTTATAGGGTTGTCCATTCTCCGAAGTTCGAACCAATTACTTTTATGAGCCGGTTCTTTACAGTGAATCATAAACACACAGGCCGAACAGTAAAGTCTGATTCCTGAACGAATGAGTCGGTTCTTTATTATGAATCATAAACATCTATGGCGACGAGTACAGTCTGATTCCCGAACAAATAACTCTAATGAGTCGGTTCTTAATAGTGACTCATTAACACACAGGTCGAGCAGTGTAGTCTGATTCCCGAGAGAATGACTCTGATGACTCAGTTCTTTAGATCAAAATCACTCTGGTTACTGACTGCTACACATTACGTCTAAATAATGTTTTATATTAATTAATTAATTTTTGATGTGTTAAATGTTGATGAAAGTGTTATTCGGCGACACAATGCTGCACAAATGCTTTTCTTATTTAAAACATTTCTTCATTTATTCCTAATCCTAAATCCACATGCGGTTTTTTGCATGTGAATGCAACTCGGTCTAATCATGTCAGGCGTTTATTTTGAAGGGCAGCCGAGCGCTTTTCAGAACTTTTATTTTGTCTTTTACCTCATCACTTCCTGGTGTTGCGGCAGCCATATTGGAATGGGGGATAGATGACAATTTCACCTTAGCCGAAGAGCTACATTTTTGTTATTTTTGAAAGTTTATCAAGGACGTATTCACTCTGAAATAAAAGGGATATCAATATATCACCCCATTTTGACCGTGGTCGATCCCGTGGAGGGCGTTGAAAGAGGTGAGACTGAACCGTTAAAATCCCCTTTCGGTGTGTAACGCTAAGGCTGTGTTTTAAAACCTAGTAAACTATCTACCTAGACAGAATTAGTTGACATCATAATGTTAAACTGAACGTTTAGAATGGTTATGTCTTGATAGGCAGCTCACTAGGTTTTGAAACGCACTCCTTTTACTCGTATCGTTTTTGTTTAGTCATATTTACACCCGTTTGTCAGTGTTATTGTCTTATTTTGGCTACAGTTGCAGACTGTTAAGGTATTAACCGCACAGTAAACATATGCCACCATGTTGTTTTAAATAGCAGTTGTTTAAATTGTTGACAATCATGACAATTAATGTTAACAAACATGATCTGAGTAGTGTTGATGTAGCTCAGGCTTTATGTATACTTGTAAATCTTCTGTTTTTCATATTTGTCTCATTTATGAACACTAGGAAGTGTTCGGATTGTATTGTGTAACTGAGAGTGCCATGTGATTTCCCAGATGAGCAACAACTTAAACAAGAGGGCCCCAACCACAGCAACACAGAGGTTAAAACAGGATTACCTGCGCATCAAGAAAGATCCAGTCCCGTACATCTGTGCTGAACCTCTGCCCTCCAACATTTTGGAATGGTACGTTTCATTTCCTTCAAAACGTTTATTATATGGACACACACAAACACACACTACCTGTCAAAACGTTTGGAATAATTAACACTTTTTAATGTTTTTGAAAGAAGTCTCTTATTCTTACCAAGGCTGCATTTATTTAATAGAAAAATACAGTAAAAATAAAAATTTTTAAAAATGTTTACAATTTAAAATAAGTGTTTTCGGTTCTAATTTATTTTTAATAATTAATTTTTTTTCAATGTTATATATATTTATGGATATGACATATATAATATTTTTGTGGAAACTGTGATACACTACCATTCAAAAGTATTTTTTGGTTTTTTTTTGGTTTTTTTTTAAGTGACGTGACATGTGGCCAAGTATGGTGACCCATACTAGGAATTAGTGCTCTGCATTTATCCCATCCTAAGTGCACACACACACAGCAGTGAACACACACCCAGTGAGCAGTGGGCAGCCATTTTTTGCTGCGGCACCCGGGGAGCAGTTGGGGGTTCGGTGCCTTGCTCAAGGGTACCTCAGTCGTGGTATTGAAGGAGAGAGAGAGTGCTGTACATTCACTCCCCCCACCTACAATCCCTGCCGGTATGAGACTCGAACCCACAACCTTTGGATTACGAGTCCAACTCTCTAACCATTAGGCCCTGACTTCCCTTTTAAGTAAAATTAATACTTTTATTCTGCAAGGACACATTAAATTGACCAAACGTGTCAATGTTATAATGTTACAAAAGATTTCTATTTCAACTAAATGCCGTTCTTTTGAACTTTCTATTCATCGAAGACTGTATCATGGTTTTCACAAAAATAATAATAATAAGCAAAAAAAAACGGATAATAAGTACTGTTTATTATAATGATAAGAACCATTATTAATATATGAGCACTAATTATTAATTGATAAGTACTATATTAGAATATTTTTTATCCCCAAAAAAAAATGCAGCCTTGGTGAGCATGAGAGACTTTTTCAAGAAACATTTCAAAACTGTAATTATTCCAGTGTATGTTTTATTTCATTTTACATGATTTACTGTTTGTTGTCATGGTTTAAGTTTGGAGCTTCATCATAATCCTGCATTTTTTAAAAATCCTTTTATAATCAATTTTCTGATTTATGTTATATCTAGCAGATGATGATTTATATTGTATTTAGCAGAATGTGCACTCTTGCTTGCATTCAATGAAAATGAAGCTCTCAAAAGGACACAGAAGCACCATGAAAGTGGTCTATATGACTCGGACGATATATTCCAAGTCGTCGAAAGCAGAATGGTGCTTTTATGTGAGGATTTGGACTGAAATTGAAGTGCACTGTTTCTATGGAGCTTATTTGTCCTTTTTAGAGCTTGACTGCCCATTGACTGTCTCTATATGATTATATTATATGTAGAAACAGTTTAAAATTCTCAAAAACATCTGTCAGGACTTCTATCATGTATTATCATCTACATGAAAGACTTTATATGATTAGATACTATCTCATCCCAGGCTTTCTTTCTCTTTCAGGCATTATCTAGTACGTGGCCCTGAGAAAACTCCATATGAAGGTGATTTCCCTCTTTAATTTCACATGAGTGCTTCCTTTTATCAAATTGTGCAGTTTCTGCTTCATTTTGACTTGTCTTTTGTATTTCATAGGTGGCTACTATCATGGCAAACTCCTTTTCCCACGGGAATTCCCGTTCAAACCTCCAAGCATATACATGATCACACCCAACGGCAGATTTAAATGTAATACAAGGTACACAGCCTCAGACTTCCATTTTCTTTTTAAGACCTTTATTTCAGCGCTAAGGTATGTAAGCATGGTTATTTTGAGCATAGTTACAGCTAAAGGTCGTTGTTAGGCAAGGCACAGCCATCAGTGAAATGTTTACTATATAATAAAATTCTTTCATTAAAACATTATTTTATGAAGCACACTCATTAAGTGCCATGTCCATCCATCTGCTGCTACGTGTAAACCAGGGTTCTTGCTCTGGAGGGCTAGTGCGCTGCAGAGTTTAGCTCCAACCCTGATCAAACTCACCGACCTACCTGTGATTTTCTAATGATCCTGAAGACAATAGCCGGGTTTCCATCCAAAGTTGCAAATTTAACTTATGCGCAAAATTGGAATATCGCATATAACACTTGCAAACAAGCACTGTTTCCATCCAACGAACCAGAGAGAACAAAATCGTCACTTCCTGATAAACTGGCACTAAATATCACTAAGAAAAGTAGGAGAAGCTACTGAATATAATAATTTAATATATAATAAATTACTTGCACCTCAGAACGAGCAGACGAAACGCAATGAATGCGGTTATTGCTTTCGGAGGTGGATGCTGCTGTTTGGGAACGCAGTCGTTTAATAGTTCTGGGAGGCAATTATACAGAAATACTGTGACGACAGACTTTGCTTGGGCATTTCCGAATGACCATCACAACATTTCAGATGCTGTGGAACAAGATCGGTCTGCTGGTTAGTCAGGATTTGGCGTCCCATAGCGCAAAGTCACATGACTTTTTTTGATGCGCTTGGAGGAATTTATTCACAAAATGCATTTCCATCTCCCATTATTCGCATGAACCCTTTTTCGCTCAAGTCAGAAACCACCTCAAGCGAGCGTAAAAACTTTTTTGCGAATTAAGGCATTTTTATTCGAAATTCAGCGTTTCCATCACTCGATTCTGATGCGATACTTCAAAATGCGCATAAAAGCAGGGTGATGGAAACCCAGCGACTGATTGGCTTGCTTTAGGGTTAGAGCTAAACTCTGCAGGAAAGTGGATCTCATGGGCCAGATTTGAGGATCCCTGATGTAAACTAAGATTGGCCTCTGTGGGTCCTGCACATGTTTTACTTCATAGTTTCTTCATACTGTATTGTGAGTTTTTGCTTGGTCTGAACTCTGAATTGATGAATCAGCGTCTACATCCGTTTCTTTAAAAGTCTCAAACGTTCAAGTCAGAAGAACAATACCATTCATAATACAATGCTTAATGACTTGCTTTCTCTTTCTCTTTCAGGTTGTGTCTTTCTATCACAGATTTTCACCCTGACACATGGAACCCCGCATGGTCCGTATCCACCATCTTAACCGGCCTCCTGAGCTTCATGGTTGAAAAAGGGCCGACTCTCGGCAGTATCGAAACCTCTGACTTCACAGTGAGTTTCACGCTGATTTAAGATCAGTCAAATGCTTTAAGCGTTTCACTGCTTTTGAGGGGGGTGTAATTGGTTTTTCTTACCATATAAAAACCCTCAAAGCTTTTTATATGAAATATTCTATAAATGCTCTAAATACTCTGACTAAATCAAAATAAAATACTAATAAGTGTTACATTTGTAATAACTGGGTGTATTGTTCACAAATTTTCTGAGCTTTTTTTGTTATTGTAAAGCCGTACTAAAACTAGTAAGTACACTGCTGTTTAAACTGTTGTTTTTTTTAATAAGTGCTGTTCTTATACCAGGGGAAAATGTATTCCATAAAAATATAAAGCAGATAAAAGAACTTAAATCAGCATATTAGAATGATTTCTGAAGGATCATGTGACATTAAAAACTGGAGTAAGGATGCTGAAAATTCAACTTTGCATCACAGGAATAAATTACATAAACATACATGTAAAATATATTGTAATAGAAAACAGAAATTGTAATAATGTTTCACAATATTACTGTTTTTGACCATATAAATGCAGCCTTTGAGCATAAGAGATTTCGTTTAAAAAAACATGAAAAATGTTACCAGCTCCATATTTTTGAATGGTACAGTATACTTTTGAATTTACCGTATACTTCATTATACTAGGGAGAAATTCACGACGTGGACATTGTTTTGACATCTATTTACATATTAACAGCTTTTTTTGTCACTTGTTTTTGTGGGCCAGGACTTGATTTTATCTATCAGAAATTAATTATATTAAAGTGGCCATTGCATACCATATTTGTGACATTATTCAAAAATGTGATGAAGCAATTTTAATTAATTTTAATATGAAAGAGTTCTTGAAATGAGCTCTATGCATAAACATGTACAAAGTACATACATGGGATACATTTTAATGCCGTGTTTGCTTTTAATATGTTCCCTGCAGAAAAGACAGTTGGCCTCCCAGAGTCTTGCTTTCAACATCAAGGACAAAGTCTTTTGTGAACTGTTTCCAGATGTTGTTGAAGTAAGTACCGTGCCAGACTTCCTCCCAGATGTATGCACGAGCAGTAAACGCATTCTTATAACAAATATATTAACACTTGATCCCTTTCACCCCCCTTTAAACAGGAAATCAAGCAGAAGCAGCGTATGCAGGAGGAGCTCAGGACCCGCTCACAGGCGCTGCCTCTCCCCGACGTGGTGCCGGATGGCGAAGCCCACCACGCGCAAAACGGGCACCTTCCCCTGAACGGGCATCTGCCCCCCGGCGCGGCCCACCCGCCCGACCTCCAGCAGGTCAACCGTAACCATGGACTCCTGGGTGGAGCGCTCGCTAATTTGTTCGTCATCGTAGGTTTTGCCGCTTTCGCCTACACGGTCAAGTACGTTCTGCGGAGCATCGCACAGGAATGAATCGCCCAATGAGAAACGCCGACGTGAGGGACGAAAGGCTGGTGCTGTTCTCACGACCAAAATAGGTAGCGAGAAATCAAAAGGGTTTTCTCACAACCAAATAAAATGAAGCAGTGTCCCGTTAATGAAATTGAGAGCTTGGTGATTTCCTCCATAGTGGCGACAACCAGATCTTGTGTGTAACGGCCACGTAAAGGGCAAGGTCACGTGAAATGATGGCTTTATTAACATGTAAGGACATTTTTTAAAAAAAGCAAATTTTCTACCTTACCCAATTCCCAGAAGAAGCCAACTTCATATGACCGTGAAATTAATCCAAGTGGGCTTTTTTAGAGCCCGAGTCAGCATTTGTTGTTGTTCACGTTTCTCATTGATCTGTACGATTTTAGAATCTAGGACGCTGAGTTTTTAAGATTAAAAGAGAAAAAAAGTCCAATCATTCCTTGAAAACAACAACAAAATAAAATACATTTCTGAAGTGTCACACCAATTATTGCTGTGACGAAAATCACTGACTGTTTTATTAGATGGAAATGGCTCAACTCTGTAAACATGCTTTACCAATGGAAATTTGTTTTTAAATGCATTTGTGCTCGCTTGCGCTACGCCAACCGTAACAACCAGTTAGGCCAGGAAAGAAGAGATTTAAAATGAATTATTTGTCTTTTGTTTGTCTGTGATGCAGCGCTCCAAGTGTACATTAACTTTCTTTCAGAGAGGGTCACTGTCGTCCAAAAGAAAAGCATATGAACTATTTTTTTTTTTTTTTCCTTTTTTTTCAGGCCATGTAACACTATAAATTGTTTTTGTGCAATATATAGTATTGTCAGCACTACTTGGCTTTCATGATACACAGCACTTCTTTTCTTTGCAAAGGGTTGTGATTTATGCAATAATTCTTAAGAAATTGAAATATCAATTACATTTTTATTATAAACATAGGCAGGTGAATATGCATTAAATTCTTACCTTTTCCTGTTGTACTGTAAGATCTTTGGTTGTGTTCATTAGGACAAGTGCTTTGAGTTGCACAAATAATTCACAACAAAACTTGCAAGTCGAAGTCCAGTTTGCTGAGACCTTCATGCACCGCAAAACATCTCTTTCTGGGTCAGAATGGTCGTATCGCTGCTCATTCGGACTGGGAGGGAATTAATGCTGTCTTTGTTACCAGTATGTTCTAGTCTCCTCAATTCAAGTGTTCTGATGTCCCAAATACTAGCAGTAATACTTTTTTTCAGCACCTCCATGAACAATGTTGATCGATATCCTTTCCTTTAAAGGGGTGTGTAATCAGAGATAGTCATGTTGTGTTTACATTTTGAATAAATAATATTCTGTTAAAGAAAGCAGTCCTTTGTGTGTGTGTGTGTGTGTGTGTGATTCAAATCCAGTTCTTGCCATTTGACAGAAGACAGTGATGTGATGTCAGCTGTGAACAAATTCAGTGATTCAGCCCTTTCAGGCAAAACACCTCTTAACCTCATACACATTATAGACATGTCATCCACAGCCACTAAGATGAAATTGCATTTGAACAGTCCCAAGTCCCTTAAAATGTAAAAAAATAAATAAAAAGTTCATAAAAATTCCCTAAAACTTGTAGGCACATCCAAATACTAATGATCAATATTCAGAATTATTGCTGACATCACTTGTGGATGTGTATATATATATGAAAATTAAACAAAAAAGCACTATAATGTATCTAATTTTATATGTACACCATGGTTATACCACTGTAATTTTTGGAAGAACCTTACAATATGAACACAAAATGCGGAAAACCGTAGCTACAAGACTAGATTTATACATCACGTGACACGCCTCCGGCCAATCAGCGCTCGATCTCACATCCCGGAAATGGAGTCCGTTTAATGTCCTACATTCATCTCCAGGTCTGTCATAATTCTGTGCGCTGCCCTTGCAGAATATTAATGTGTAACGATGGCCTGTGTCTAACATAATTAGACACCCGGAATCTCCTCGGCTCGAATAAAGAGACGTTTTTATGGAGGGACATTTCTATAAAAAAGAGAAAACAATGAGGCCTAATAGGAAAAATTAGGGAAAAGTGTCAAGGTGAGGAATTCAACACACAGCAGGTGAGCTGCAGAGATGTTACACTGCACGATGACAGTTGATGTGAAGTTTTATGAAGCGTGTTGCATGCATACAGCACGTCAGGTTGTGTTTCCGCAGCCAGCGGAATGTTTGACACGACAGTCACGGAGTGTGTTGGCTGGTAATGTTAGTACATGTTAGTGCATGTTTGACTGTCACCATGAAAGGTGTATAGTTTGTTTGTGAAACATTTGTCGCTGCCACACCTCTTTTTTACCACACAGTAGCAACCATTGCCATGACAACCCCTCCCAATTAACTGGCTACAGCCATTTCTATAGCAACCACCCTGGATCACCTAGCTAGAGCGGTTGCTATGGCAACGTACGTTTGATTTGTTCTTGGCTTTGTCTGGATCGGTGCAGGTTTTCAAAAATTCATTAAAATTACAAATCGCTTGAATGCATATCTTTAATGATGAGCTTGTTTTCATTTCTGAATTAGAAGTCATTCTGATATTTTTTGTGGGGCTAAAAGTGAAAAAAAAATTTTTTTTAATTCTAATGTAACTGAAAAATTTAGTTGAAAACTTGAAATTCTTGGAAAAAACATGTTGACTGGTAATTTAGCATATTATTATTTGTTATGTCTTTAATAAGCAGTGTAGTTATGTTTTAAAAATATTAATCTAAAAAACTTTTAACTCTAATATTGCTTATAATTTACTAATATTTGACTAATATTTTGAACCTATAACCAACCTATCAATGAAAAACCTAACCTTAATGTTTTTTTTATTCAAGTCAAATGAAGTTACCCTAAAGAAAACGTCTGATATTTGCATGACTGCATATTAAAAAAAGTAAAATAATGATTAAGTTGTATGTGGACATTATTTTATGAAATTAGTTATTTAAAAACATTAACATTTCTTGAGTGTAGCATAAACATAAAAATGACATGAGTGTATCTCTTCTGTGATAGACATTTTTTAATTTCTGAATTAAAAGTCATTTTGATATTTTTAGGAACTAAAAGTGAATATATAGGGTCTAGGGTAATGTGTGTGTGTGTGTGTGTATTAGGGCTGCACAATTAATCAAATTACAATTACAGATGCCACAATTACATAATTGTTCAAAGTCCACTTATGTTTTTTGCTTGTTTATTTTCATATAAAAATTATGGCATGCAGTTGCTTCAAACAATGGTATAAACATCATTCAGTGTAAATAATGATATTCATAATTAATAATCGCTATTAAAATTTCAAGGTAACAATCGACATTTATTTATTTATAGGTGGTATAAATGTAGCTGAAAAATGTCAAAAATCTTAAGAACCAATTGACAAAAGTTGATCATAATGACATAATATAATTATTTTTGAGTGAAGCAGTTTTGTTTTGTTTTAAAACATTAATATTTGATCAACTTTTGTCCATCAAGTTAAAGCCATTGTAGCATAACCAACATGCATAAGCCGTTTTGTTTTGTCTTATTGTCACTCATTTTCACTTTATCTTTTCTAGACATGTCTTCTCAAATGCAGGCGTTTTCCTCTCCCTCCGTGTCCTCCAGTGGCCTGTCCCGCTCCAAGAAACTGAAGTTGGAAAACCATGCATGGAACGTGAGCAGCCAATCAGGTGAGAGTAGCTACTACCAGCACAGCCCAAACCAGCCGAATGGCTCCTCCCCCTCCACATCTGGATTCAACCCCAATTACAACTCCTCCAGCCTGGTCTTTTCTCCTTCTGGAGGCTCGCGGGAACAGACAGTGGTACGTGCCGCAGACAGCACCGGCAGCGTCCCAGAGCCTTCATCATCCTCCTCATCATCATCCACACCCAGTCAGCATGGAAAAGATGTGGGCTCCACCTCTCTGACATGTGAGGGCTATCGGAGACGGGGCAGTCTGAAGCGGAAGAGCGAGGAGGTGGACAGCAGCGACAGCGTGCAGATTTTGGAGGAGCTGTCGGCTCCTGTGCTCCCCAACCGTGTGGCCGGAGGTGGAGGCAACGCCACGGCTCAGTCCATCGCTCATTCCACGTCCACCACCAAAAGCAGCAACTCCCACAGTGAGGGCGACTACCAGCTGGTGCAGCATGAGATCCTCTGCTCTGTCTCCAACAGCTACGAGGTGCTGGAGTTCCTCGGCCGGGGAACATTCGGACAAGTCGCGAAATGCTGGAAGCGTGGAACTAATGAGATCGTGGCCATTAAGATTCTCAAGAATCATCCGTCATATGCCCGCCAGGGTCAAATAGAGGTGAGCAGTTAACCTGTATCAAAACCTTTCCCAATCATTGTATTTTTGTGAATAAAATGCTGTAAATGACAAACAATAAATAAATAAGAGATCTAAAGCTGCAATTTTAAGAATTAGTTGTAATTGTGAGATATACAGTTGCAGTATCGACAAAAGCATACAGTTTTATAAAAAAAATATACAGTTGCAATTACAGGAAACCGTCACTGTTATGAGATATACAGGTGCAATTAAGAGAAATAGTCACAATTGTGAGGTATGGAGTCACAGATAGCAGTTGTGTGATATACAATCGCTTTTGACAAAAAGTTTAAATTGTGAAATATACAGTCGCAGTTGTGAGATATGATGTTTGCAGTTGTGAGATACTAAGTCACAATTGTAAGATACACAGTCACAATTACGAGAAATAGTTGCAATGGTGCAATCGCTATTATGAGAAATAGTCAGAATTTTGAGATACAGTCACTACTACAAGAAATAGTTACAGTTGTGAGATATACAACTTCACAATTGTGAGACATACAATCGCTATTACAAGCCATAATCTCCATTGTGAGACTTTCAGTTGCTATTTCGAGAAATAGTCACATGTGTGATATATACAATCACTATTACAAGAAATAAAGAAACATTTACGAAAAATTTATGAAAAATGTACATCCCAAAGAAGCACAAAATCCCTTTTACGGACTTTTAAATTAAATGTTCCCTCCTGGTGGAATGACCTGCCCAACTCAATCCGAGCAGCTGAGTCCTTAGCCATCTTCAAGAATCGGCTAAAAACACATATCTTCCATCTTTATTTGACCCTCTAACTCTAGCACTCTCTATTCTAATTCTATTCTTAAAAAAAAAAAAAACTTGCCCCTTTTAGACTTGCACTCTATTCATTTGCTGCTTGTTTTCTTTTTAAAAAAATAGCACTTGCTTTCTAATCTTTTTGTATTATATCGGTTTTCTTTTCATTTATTATACAATTAACAAAAGCAAAAAAGACCTCTAACACTAGCTTGCTCTATTCTTTTTCTTTTTTTTTTATAAACAAAAAACAGTAACCAACATAAGATAACAATACACATATTTACACCCACACACACAGACCAAAAAATAAAAAACCCAACATAGTATATATACAACATAGTATTCACAATTGTGTTATAAATCCAATACTTCAGAAATTTATATTTTTAAAAAATTATAAAAAATAGAAGGGGAGGTTTACAGAATACAGAAATTAAATTTCCAAGAGTCTCAAGATAGGTCCCCATGTGGCCTCAAATCTTTTCTGTGAGGAGAGCTCACCAAAACGTAACTGTTCCATTTGGATAATGTAAAGCATCTCATTCAACCATCTCTGAAAACAAGGGGCTTGTGGAGATTTCCAGTTGAGTAGTATCACTTTTTTGGCTGCAATCATGCCTACCGTTAGAGCCTGTTGATGAGTATGAGGAAGAACGTCCATTACATCAGAATATCCAAAAATAGCCAGACTGTGGTCAGGTTGAATATTAATTTTGAAAGCACTAGAAAACTATTCGAAAATTTTAGACCAGAAAACATACAGAATTGGACAAAACCAAAATAAATGTGCCAGTGTCCCCTCCACTCCCACTTTTTCTATTCTGTCTGTTTTCTTTTTATTTATTATATTATTTAAAATACCCTTGCTACGTGTACTGCTTTAAGCTAACAGACTTGTTATAGCACTTGTATATCATTGCTCTTTTGTTGATTTTGATTGCTTCTATTGTCCTCATTTGTAAGTCGCTTTAGAAAAAAGCGTCTGCTAAATGACTAAATGTAAATGTAAATAGTTGTAGTTGTGAGATATACAGCTTTGCAATTGTGATACATACAATCTCTATTACGAGAAATAGTCACAATTGTGAGACATACAGTCACCATTATGAGAAATAGTTGCAATTGTGAAACATTCAGTCACTATTACGAGAAGTCGTTGCATGTGTGATGCATGATATACAATCGCTATTACAAAAAATAATCACAGTTGTTAGACATTCAGTAGCTATTACGAGAAAGTCACAACTGTAAGACATTGGTCCATGTACGTTGTGTTCATTTGTTTTTGATTTAATATTGAAAACAGAAACATGAGAAAACGGCACCATTTTCAGTTTTTGATTTTTCAAAAACACGAAAAGACAAGAATTCGCCTTAATTTTAAATTTTTACATTCAGGGGTAGAAAATGGATAAACAGCTTGAATGTTCGATTTCCGCATGTGGGAGGGAATTAAATGCCCCTTTTCACTGATTGGTCATAGTGATGGGAAGTTTGTTTCTTTTCCGCGAACCGGTTCTTTCGGACAGTTCGATTCAATAAACTGGTTGAAAAAACCGGTTCACCGGTTCTTTTACGCTCGACGTAATGACGTCATTGGCGATGACGTAATGGTGTTAAGTCTATTGCGGGCTTAACACATTCAAATATAAAGTCAGTAATCATAACATCAGTCAATTAAAACATCATTATAACCTGATACGTTTCTTACAATTTGGATTTTTGTATCTAAAGCATCAACACATATACAGGCAGTGATCTGCAAACTAGGATGTTTTACAGTTATGACGACCAAAAAATAAAAAATAAAAAACCCAACATAGTATATATACAACATAGTATTCACAATTGTGTTATAAATCCAATACTTCAGAAATTTATATTTTTAAAAAATTATAAAAAATAGAAGGGGAGGTTTACAGAATACAGAAATTAAATTTCCAAGAGTCTCAAGATAGGTCCCCATGTGGCCTCAAATCTTTTCTGTGAGGAGAGCTCACCAAAACGTAACTGTTCCATTTGGATAATGTAAAGCATCTCATTCAACCATCTCTGAAAACAAGGGGCTTGTGGGGATTTCCAATTGAGTAGTATCACTTTTTTGGCTGCAATCATGCCTACCGTTAGAGCCTGTTGATGAGTATGAGGAAGAACGTCCATTACATCAGAATATCCAAAAATAGCCAGACTGTGGTCAGGTTGAATATTAATTTTGAAAGCACTAGAAAACTATTCGAAAATTTTAGACCAGAAAACATACAGAATTGGACAAAACCAAAATAAATGTGCCAGTGTCCCCTCCACTCCCACTTTTTCTATTCTGTCTGTTTTCTTTTTATTTATTATATTATTTAAAATACCCTTGCTACGTGTACTGCTTTAAGCTAACAGACTTGTTATAGCACTTGTATATCATTGCTCTTTTGTTGATTTTGATTGCTTCTATTGTCCTCATTTGTAAGTCGCTTTAGAAAAAAGCGTCTGCTAAATGACTAAATGTAAATGTAAATAGTTGTAGTTGTGAGATATACAGCTTTGCAATTGTGATACATACAATCTCTATTACGAGAAATAGTCACAATTGTGAGACATACAGTCACCATTATGAGAAATAGTTGCAATTGTGAAACATTCAGTCACTATTACGAGAAGTCGTTGCATGTGTGATGCATGATATACAATCGCTATTACAAAAAATAATCACAGTTGTTAGACATTCAGTAGCTATTACGAGAAAGTCACAACTGTAAGACATTGGTCCATGTACGTTGTGTTCATTTGTTTTTGATTTAATATTGAAAACAGAAACATGAGAAAACGGCACCATTTTCAGTTTTTGATTTTTCAAAAACACGAAAAGACAAGAATTCGCCTTAATTTTAAATTTTTACATTCAGGGGTAGAAAATGGATAAACAGCTTGAATGTTCGATTTCCGCATGTGGGAGGGAATTAAATGCCCCTTTTCACTGATTGGTCATAGTGATGGGAAGTTTGTTTCTTTTCCGCGAACCGGTTCTTTCGGACAGTTCGATTCAATAAACTGGTTGAAAAAACCGGTTCACCGGTTCTTTTACGCTCGACGTAATGACGTCATTGGCGATGACGTAATGGTGTTAAGTCTATTGCGGGCTTAACACATTCAAATATAAAGTCAGTAATCATAACATCAGTCAATTAAAACATCATTATAACCTGATACGTTTCTTACAATTTGGATTTTTGTATCTAAAGCATCAACACATATACAGGCAGTGATCTGCAAACTAGGATGTTTTACAGTTATGACGTCAATAAATTAGTCTTCATCAGCGCAGAAACTATGCTCCACTTACTATATATAATCCATTATGGTTTATTTGTAATTAAGTAAACTTACGTTTAGCCAGATTGCCCTTCATTCAAGTCTTCGGTTTACCCGCGCTCATAAAACTCGAAATAATAATCAAAACGTTAAGATAGCTTTATATTCACACTAAAACCGATACTGGTCTGCGCTTCACTATAATGTAAATGTCACGCAGCTTTGCCACACAGATTTTGATAACTGGACAGCTAAATAAAATGTGCGGTGTGCCAAAGAAATAGACTAAAAGGGTAATGTGGCTGCAGATCTGAGGTACATACATATTTCTGCAATAAGAACCTAATTTGCCATATAGAATCTATGCCTACACAGAAGTAAATCCTGTCTAGGCATTGCCCCAGTATGGTTTGTGTCAAGCCATTTGTTAGTCTGGTTGTTTGATGAGAAGGAGATGAACGCAAGAGTTGCAATAAACGCTTTAACAGTGGAGGACTCTTATTCTGTTGCACAAAACAGAAGACGACATGATGACAGCACCATTTGATGCTTGCTTGACCAATCAGTGGAAATCAAATATTCAAACTGTTTATCCATTTTCTACCCCTGCATGTAAAAACTGAAAATCAAGGCGATTTCTTGTTTTTTTGTTTTATTTTGAAAAAATGAAATTGGTTGATAACTGGACAGCTAAATAAAATGTGCGGTGTGCCAAAGAAATAGACTAAAAGGGTAATGTGGCTGCAGATCTGAGGTACATACATATTTCTGCAATAAGCACCTAATTTGCCATATAGAATCTATGCCTACACAGAAGTAAATCCTGTCTAGGCATTGCCCCAGTATGGTTTGTGTCAAGCCATTTGTTAGTCTGGTTGTTTGATGAGAAGGAGATGAACGCAAGAGTTGCAATAAACGCTTTAACAGTGGAGGACTCTTATTCTGTTGCACAAAACAGAAGACGACATGATGACAGCACCATTTGATGCTTGCTTGACCAATCAGTGGAAATCAAATATTCAAACTGTTTATCCATTTTCTACCCTTGAATATAAAAATGGAAAATCAAGGCAATTTCTTGTTTTTTAGTTTTTTGGAAAAAACGTAAACGAAAATGGCGCCATTTTCTCATGTTATCAGTTTTAAATAAAAAAAATGAATGAACGCAACATACATGGACCGACATTCAATCACTATTACAAGAAATAGTTGCATGTGTGAGATATACAGCCGCTATTACGAGAAATAGTTGCAGTTGTGAGATATGCAAGTTTGTAATTGTGAAACATACAATCTCTATTACAAGAAATAGTCACTTGTGTGATATATACAGTGGGGATCAAAATTAGAAAACAACCTACAATTTCCTAAATTTCAAGGTCACTGCTTAGTCCTATTTTAAGTTATCCTAACAGGAGTAGAAGGGCAGTTTTTTTAAGCATATTTCATAAATTATTTTTATTCTGAAGCACGGTATAAAAAAAATTATATTTGAGATATTTGAAAAGAACTCTGATCAAAATTAGAGAACACTAACAGATACCTCCAGGTTATTGGTGTTAATCTGGCACGTAATGCTAATTTCCTTAGTTATATGACAAACCCTATTTAACTGGAAGCATTCCTCTAATTTTCACTGAGATTGCAAGATGGTGGGCCGCTATAAGGTGACTGAAACCCTGTGACAGGAGGCGGTCCAGATGAATGCCAAAGGGATGACACTTCCAGCCACTGCAAGAGAAGTTGGTCATTCCAAATCTGATTTCTTGAATATTGCAGGTTTACAATGACACTAATTCATTCAAGTCCCCCAAAAAGGCTGGTCGTCCATGTAAGACAAATGCACAAGAAGACAGAGTCGGGGAAAGTCTGCAGCCCAAGTGTGTAAAGAAGTCAGGTTTTGGGGATGTTTTGTGCAGCAGGAGTTGGGCCTCTTATACAGCTACATGGCAGGTCAATGCAAATGTTCATCAGAACCTCCTTCAGCAACCTGTGGTACCTTCCCTGCAAGCATCTCCCTATCAGCCTGCAATTTTCATGCAAGACAATGCCCCCATCACACTGCAAAATGGGTAAAGCAGGTCTTTGAAGCTGAAAACACTGAAATAATGAAATGGCCGACCCAGAGTCCTGATCTAAACCAGATTGAAAATCTCTAGAAAATCCTTGGCGACAAAGTTATGGCTAAGAAACCGAGTACAGTTACCGAACTGTGGAAGAAAGTGGAAGAAGTATGGACCAAGATCATACCAGCGTAGTGTGGGAAACTAGTAAATAATCACAATTGTGAAATATGCAATCACTGTTACGACAAATAGTCGCAATAGTGAGATACACAATCACTATTATGAGAAATATTTGCGATTAATAGATATACAGTTGTGATTACGAAAAATAGTCACAATTGCGAAATATGAAGTTGCATTTGGTACTCAGTCGCAATTGTGATATATACAGTTGCAATTACTTGTTTTAGTCACAATTGTAGAATGTACATTCAATTGATGTTGCACATACAGGAAATAAAGTTTTCATAATTTTTAATTGAGGTGGAAACAGACTTCCATAGCAAATACCTCTGATAATTAATATTGGATTGATGCAATGATAAATGTCTACTGCATTTATTTCTAAGATTTTAATTAATCATCGATCATGTGCTTGATACAAATTTGCTTAAATGTATTGAACTCAATCCTGTCCCGTTAAAGGTGAGCATCCTCAGCCGTCTGAGCACAGAGAATGCAGACGAGTTCAATTTTGTGCGCTCTTACGAGTGCTTCCAGCACAAGAACCACACGTGTCTGGTGTTTGAGATGCTGGAGCAGAACCTCTACGACTTCCTCAAGCACAGCAAGTTCAGCCCACTGCTCCTCAAGTGTATCCGGCCGGTCCTGCAGCAGGTTGCCACAGCGCTGATGAAGCTGAAGAGTCTGGGTCTCATCCACGCTGATCTGAAGCCTGAGAACATCATGCTGGTGGACCCCATCAGACAGCCCTACAGAGTCAAAGTCATCGACTTCGGTTCAGCAAGTCACGTCTCGAAGGTGTTGTGCTCAACCTACCTGCAGTCTAGATACTACCGGTAAGGAATATTTAATGTCAAAAGGAATGGACAAGTGGATGTACATTTACATTTGTGCATTTATGAACACTGTCTAAAGCAACTTAGTGCATCCAGACATGAATTGAAATGAATTAAATTTATATTAATATGATACTATTATATGTATAAAAACTATTATATGTATGAAAAACTCCCTTAAAGCCTAATACAGTTTTACTTTTATATTTACATTTAGGCATTTGGCAGAAATTTAGTTTTAGGGTTTTATACAGATACAGAGTTTTACATGCTTCCAAAATCAGTCATTGTGTATTGTATTTATGCATAAATAGCTGTTCTTTTCTCATATTAATGGCTACCAATATTGATTAAATGTTCCTAACAATTTATAAAATTGGTTATACAGTGGTTGTATAAAACGGATAGTTCCGGTCCTTGATTCTGATTGGTTGAGCCGCGTTCGAAGCTGTTGTAAATTACACTACAAACATACACCTTTGTTTACTTCTGTGTGTTGCTCGGCACTTTGTTGGAACCACAACTGTTTCTGAGGAACTACATTGTTTGGTGGAAGAATACTGTTTTTATTAATATCATTACACTTTATTTGCTCCGTTTTATTCTGTGAAACCTTGCTACGTATATGGAATAACCGTTTTATAAAAGCAATAAGCCCCGTGAAGCCGTGGTTTACAGTGAATTTATAACAGCTAAGGGACGTTATTAGGCACGATGCAAAGCGGAGTTTCTTGGAGCTTCTTGGGGCTTATTGCTTTAATATAAAAGAATCACCCCCCTTTAAAATAATCACATTTTGTTGCCTTGCAGCCTGAAATGAAGACGGACACATTTTTTGTTTCATCCAGCTGTATTTACTCAGTGCAACTTATAACATCCAAGTGAAAGATGTAAAATAATTTTTTTAAAACTGAATCACTGAACTGGAAAAAGGATCACCCCTTGTGTCAGTATTTTGTTGAACCACCTTTTGCTTTAATTTAGTCTGATGGGATATGTCTCTGTCTCTACTGACTTTGCAGATCTAGACTTTGCAATATTTGCCCACTTTTCTTTGCAACAAAATGTGATTATTTTAAAGGGGGTGATTCTTTTCTATACCCACTGTATGTCTAATTGTCAGCTAATATACTTTTTTCAATGGCTGATCCGCTGATGTCAATAATACTGATATATGGTATATAATGCATTTTATTGATAACATAGCTAGAAATAACTAAAAATTAACAAAATAACTCAAAAAATGTACTAAAATACTGAAATACTGTTTTATCTCATCTTGGAGATTGCACAAATTGAAAATAAGCATTGTATTATGATCTTAAAATGGCCAAATATCAATATTTCTGTCTATCACTAATATAACCTTCATCTGTAAAAAATGATTGTTTACCTTTATGATACATCAGATGCATTGTCATTCTGCCAATAATATACACCTCATATCATTTTGATATTTTCTGTGGGGTTAGAAGTGTGGAAAAAATGTAGGTGGTCTAAATGTAACTAAAAAAAGGTGTCATTAAAAAGGTGAAATTCTTAAAAAATGGTTAATAAGCAGTGAAGCAGTTATTTTTTTAAATATGAATATTTCATGTAACCTTAACATAACTTAACCAACTTGTCGTCAATGAAAACCTTAGACTTTTTTTAAACTTAACGTGTTGTTCAAGTCTTACTTTAAGAAAACTACTTGATATTTGTTCTTAAAAAATCATAATATTTAGCTAATTTAGTTTTTTAAATATTTAATAACAAAAAAAAGTTTGATCTCTTTTTGGAAATGACACAAATTAAAAATTGGCATTGGATGATAATTTTAAAATAATAAATATCAATATATCTGTCTATCACTAATTTATCCTTCATCCCTAAAGAATTTGTTTACAGTAAATCATATGTATCCCCCTACCTGTCATTCTCCCAATCTTATACACCTCATAAGAAAACCTGCCAGTGCAATGAAGCTAATTTATTCATTATCTTGTTTTAATTTGTCTGTTGTTGTGCAGAGCTCCTGAGATCATTCTGGGCCTTCCGTTCTGTGAGGCCATTGACATGTGGTCACTAGGTTGTGTCATTGCTGAACTGTTTCTGGGCTGGCCTTTGTATCCGGGAGCCTCAGAATATGATCAGGTCAGTAATAAGGTTTTGTTTGCCTGGATTTAATCAGTTCTGTGCTAAATCAATTCGTTTTATTCCAAATTCAATTGAGAAGGCTATCAGTAGATTTGGAAAGTGACACAAGGGGTCACTAACACATCTGCTGCAAAGCCATGCCAGTGCCGGTAATCTTAAAACTGACAGTACTGGCTGATATATTAGTTTATTGCTAGCAAATAATCTTATACAGCAACTAGATACCTTTCTCTGCATACACTACTTGTCCACAATGTAGTTTTATTCCAAATTCAATTGAGAAGGCTATCAGTAGATTTGGAAAGTGACACAAGGGGTCGCTAACACATCTGCTGCAAAGCCATGCCAGTGCCGGTAATCTTAAAACTGACAGTACTGGCTGATATATTAGTTTATTGCTAGCAAATAATCTTATACAGCAACTAGATACCTTTCTCTGCATACACTACTTGTCCACAATGTGTCAATCTGTGAAGAATGGGTGTATAATCTACATTTCATGTATATCCCTGCAGATTCGGTACATTTCCCAGACTCAAGGTTTGCCAGCTGAGTATCTCCTGAGCGCCGGGACTAAAACCAGCCGTTTCTTCCACAGAGGCCCAGACTCCAGCTACCCTCTCTGGAGACTCAAGGCATGCCCCACTTAAAGCATTGCTGTGTATTTTATGTTCAAAGGCATCAGCGGTCAATTGATGATAGAACGCTTTCCTCACTGATGTGTTTCTGTTTTTAGACTCCCGCAGAGCACGAGGCAGAGTTTGGGATAAAGTCCAAAGAGGCTCGCAAGTACATTTTCAACTGCCTTGACGACATGATGCAGGTAGTGCTGTGTGTACAATAATGTGTGAAAAACTCATTGATACAAATGATAGAATAAATGTGTACAGACAGGATTCAAAACTAATGAGGTAAAATATAAATGTGCGTGTGTGTGTGTGTGTGTATACACATATATATATGTATATGCGATATGCGATACCTTGTTAAAAAATGCGATATTCGATATGCGATACGATATTGCTTAAAGTGTGTAAAATCAATTTCAATTATATTTAAAAAATATTTAAAAATGAAAATTATATAACCAATTTGTTTCACATTCTTTCTTGGAAAAGAAAGAATCACTACAACTTCTGAAAGTGACCAGCAGTGTTTTAGCATTACATAAAAAGTAATGTCACAAATCAGAAAATGACATTTTAACATCAGTGTGAACATACAAAAAAAAAAAATTAATGACACTAATTTTATATCATTGTAACTTTGCTTTCCACACACTTTAAGTACTTCTTCATATACCACAGCAAAAACTATAGTCTGAGAAAGTTCAAACATGATTAAAGCTAAGTGAACAGTCAGTAAAAAAAAGAAAGAAAGTAAAAGAAAAAAAGAAATACACAATTTACAAGCATAGATAATATATACAGTAGTATTCAGGTACAGAAATTTAATTAAGTGTAAAATAACACTGCATAGTGTTCACTGTATGAATTAAATTTAGATTAATCTTTGTTATAGCTGTTTTGTTGTTTGTTTAACATTAGTGACATATTCAGCAGCACGTATTTCTAGGCTGCTGTCACTTTAAAACCGACTGCACAGATCCAGTATAATGATACACATCCGATTTCTTTCTCAGCTGTTTACATTCATTTAAAACATAACCGACTGCGTTAACGAGAATGATCGTCGAGATGGGTACTTGTGACATTTCTGTGTGTATGTGTCTGTTCGAACATAAGGAGGAGATGCGAAAAAACATGATTAAAGCTAAGTGAACAGTCAGTAAAAAAAAGAAAGAAAGTAAAAGAAAAAAAGAAATACACAATTTACAAGCATAGATAATATAAACAGTAGTATTCAGGTACAGAAATTTAATTAAGTGTAAAATAACACTGCATAGTGTTCACTGTATGAATTCAATTTGTTATAGCTGTTTTGTTGTTTGTTTAACATTAGTGACATATTCAGCAGCACGTACTGCTGTCACTTTAAAACCGACTGCACAGATCTAGTATGATACACATCCGATTTCTTTCTCAGCTGTTTACATTCATTTAAAACATAACCGACTGCGTTAACGAGAATGATCGTCGAGACGGGTACTTGACATAATTCTGTGTGTATGTGTCTGTTCGAACATAAGGAGGAGATGCGAAAGATGAATCAACTCGGTCTGAAATGTGTCTCTCTGTGTGCGTGCGCTTTGCACGTGTGCGGCAGAATTGAAGAGACGCTGTGCGAGATGCGGCTTGTGTGCGCGCTTCAGGTGTGAGTCAGACACCAAGACGAGAGTTGTTTTCTGCAACTTATTGCACTTAATAACTCTTTTTAACGTCAAGCAATTCTCTGCTATATGCGTCGAACTAAAACTTTGACCTTTTGCAACGTTTTGATTTAAGTAGCCTATTATTAAAATGATTCAGATATCGCACGCCCTTGCGATATGCATATTGCGATATTTACATTTGCGATATTTCAATAATTTCGATATATCGTGCAGCCCTAATATACTCACATACTCTATCGTTCAAAAGTTTGGGGTCAGACAAAAATTTTGTGTGTTGCACTTTGGTCTTATTGATGTATGTCTGTTATAACTATTTTCTGTAACACTTAATAAAAAATTGATCCAAAAAAATAAAGTTATTCAGAAAGGATGTAATCCATCCAGGTTCTTTGAATTGGTGGTGACAGAATAAATACTCTTATTTTTCTGATTCTTTGTGATGTTGAGATGAATAAGACCGAAATCTTGACTGAAAATGTCTGTTCAAAAGATGTTTTTTTTTTTAAAGAAATCAATTCTTTTATTTATAAGGATGCGTTAAATTGACCAGAAGTGACAGTAAAGACATTTTAAAATGTTAAAAATTATTTCTATTTCACATAAATGCTGTTCTTTTACACTTTCTGTTCATAAAAGAATACTGAAAAAACTACAATAAATTTCATTTTCTAATGTATTCAAATAGAAAACAGTTATTTTAAATTGTAGTAATATTTCACAGTTTTTACTACATTTTTGATCAAATAAATGCAGCCTTAGTGAGCATAAACAACTTCTTTCAAAAACATTACTCACCTCAAATTTTTGAACAGTAGTATATATATCAGTGCCTATTTAATATTCAACACCTTGGTTATCCAATCACAAATTTACATATTAAACTCCACGTACATTTGCAAAACAGCCTATTAGTTTTTTTTAGGTTTCTTTTTCTTCGTTATGTCTGAAACCTTGACTAACTTTATGAATAGACTCACTGTAACATGTTAACCTAAGTAAACTAGATCAATGCCACAGTGCTTTTTTGATTAGTGATCTAAAAATAGTGCAGACTTTTAAATACTTCCTTATGTCACATGACGTCTTTGATTATTATGTATTTATTTTTAATATTTAATCTTATTTTATTGCCTGGTTTAAATTAGTTCTTTCTCACACTCCAGGTCAACATGACTAACCTGGAGGGCACAGACATTTTGGCAGAGAAGGCTGATCGGAGGGAGTTCATTGACCTGCTGAAGAAAATGCTAACTCTCGACGTAGACAAGCGGATCACGCCTACTAAGACCCTTAACCACCCGTTTGTGACGATGGCTCACCTTCTTCACTTCCCACACAGCTCACAGTAAGCCCTGTTGTTTATTTGTTGATTATCTACATATAATGTAGATATACTAGCCACATCTCTACCTGTACTCCTCTGAAGACACTAACACCAGTGCCGTGTACTCCTCTCTTGTTGTGTAGTGTGAAGTCCTGCTTCCAAAACATGGAGATCTGCAAGCGCAGGTGTACCGCCTTCGATAACAACAAGAACCTGTTCGCCAGCCACAATGCTCCCAGCGCAGCCACCAACCTCACCGTCACCTTCAGCAGTCAACTCAATCAGCACAGTCAGGTGTGTACTACTGCACAGATGCATTATGGGAAAGTTAATTCGTTTGTAATGCATTTGCATTCAGTATGTTGCTTGTAGTGGTAAAAAATAAGAATAGAATTATACGACTGAATATCACAAGAAATGTCAAACTACTATAGCGTGTTTTAAAGGGATAGTTCACCAAAAAAGGACAATTCTATCATCATTTACTCACTCTCATGACATTCCAAACTCATATGTTATTTTTTCGGTGAAAGACAATCATTTTTGATGTAGCTCTTTTCCATACATCATCATTTCTTAGTGGCCATTTCTGTTAAATCTCCAAAAATGATGAAAAACTCCCACAAATATAATCTGTGTAACTCGAGCACTAATTTCGAAGTCTTCTGAATTGATATAATTGCTGTTAATTCATGATCTGCTGAGAATTAATTATTGAATCGGTGAGTTGAGAGTCTAAGAACCTGATCAGTCTGATTTATTTAAAAGAATAAATGATTCATTCACAAATCAGACTGATCTGGGTCTCTCATGATTTGGTTCTTGAGGTAGCAGCTCACTCGAGGGCAAAATTACCAGTGAATTTGAATAAAATTTCGGTCTATTCCTCACAAAGCTATCATATGACTTCAAATGACTTGCAGTATAGCAGTGTTATTTTAGTATTATTTATATGCTACTGTAGTATTTATCAATATATATTTTATTTATATATTTTCAGTTCTCATTTTAGTTTAAGTAGTTAAAATAATGTAATTTTGCTATATGCTTTTTAATGTTTTTTTGTTTGTTTTTATATTTTTCTGTTTAGCTTTAATTTATTTTTATTCCCATTTTAGTTTTAGTCATTTTAATACTTAAACTTATTTTAGTTAATTGCCAAGGCATTTTTCTGTTTTTAATGTAATTAAAAAATATTTATATATATATATATATATATATATATATAAAGTTTAGTTTTTTTATCTAATATTTATATTTTATTTTATTTCAGCTTTATTTCAATTGCCAAAATTTTTTAATACTTTTAGTTAAAACACAGGAATATAATGTACAAGTCAGATGAACTGCTTATATGGGGTTGATTTTGTTGTTTTTTGGGAGCTTGACAGACGTGGTCATGTATGAATTGTCTGCATAAAGAGGTTTGGAACAACATGAGACTGAGCTGCTTTAAACAACATTAGAATTGTCATTAATAGATGAACTATTGCTTTAAAGCATAGTATGCATGCTATATTAAGGTTTTTAGTGCTGTTTCTGTGCTTAGTCAATGTTGTTAAGAATCTCCCTCTCTTTCCGTAACTGCCAGATGGCCTCCACAGGCGGCCAGTCCCTGTCTCTTAGCAGCAACGTCCCTCTACTGAACTACCAGCCTGGTCTGTACCAGCAGGCCACTATAAATATACCAGGCTTGGCTCAGCAGAGTGTGCCATTGCAGGCTCGCCCTACTCAGCTGTGTGCCCAGACAGAGCCCTTCCAGCAAACCCTCATTGTGTGCCCTCCTACCATCCAGGGTGAGCCTGTACCCGACCCCTTTTACCCAACCCCACCGCTCTGTCCTTTAGACTCATACCCAACCCAACCTGTCCTTGACTCGTACTGCTTCCAAATGCATTTGAACTGAATCGCTCATGTTTGATTCACCAGGGCTGCAGACCTCCAGTAAACACGCTGGATATCCAGTGAGAATGGACAACTCTGTACCCATAGTGCCCCAGAACCAATCTACCCAGCCTCTACACATTCAGCCCAGCATGCTCACACAGGTAGGCATCATGTTTGTGTGTTATCTGACTGTGTTTCTCCTCTTAACACTGTTTAATATGATCCTTGTTTCTCCTCCCTGTTAGCACATTGGCCTTTATGAGTATTGAGTGTTTATTTTTTTCTATATCACCTTTTCCTCATTTATGTGCAGTAAGAATTACAGTGAAGATTAAAAACGAAAGAGGCAGTTGTTTTAAATCCTTTTGAGTCTGCATCTCACTAGCCGATTTTCAGAGTGGGTACATCATAAACTGTAAACACAGACTCTTTCCAGGAAAATATCGTCATCAGCTCAGCTGGCATTTATATTAAATATGATTAAATCATTTCACATGCACGCTGCATTTAACAAAAGCCACATTTTCTGTCATCTGTTCTGTTACAGTTTCTGTTCACACTAACTACCATTCAAAAGTTTGGGGTTGGTAAGATTTTTTAAATGTTTTTAAAATAAGTCTCTTATGCTCACCAAGGCTGCATTTATTTGATCAATGATACAGTAAAAACAGGAATATTGTTAAATATTATTGCAACTTAAAACAACTTTTATTCCTTTAATGGCGAGTTGAATTTTCAGTGTCACATGATCCTTCAGACATCATTCTATTATGCTGATTTGCTCCTCAAGAAACATTTCTAATTATTATTAATGTTGAAAGCAATTGTGCAGATTAATACTTTTGTGGAAACCATAATACAATTTTTCAGGATTCTCTGAATAGAAAGTCCAAAATAACTTTACTAATGTCTTTTTAATGTCACTTTTGATCAATTTAATGCCTCCTTGCTAAATGAAAGTATTAAAAAAAATCTTGCTGACCCCAAATTATAGTGTATTTTCAGCCAAGATTTCTGTCTTAGCTTTTCATGACAATGAATTGGAGAGAAAGGTCAAAGACATGCATTTATTCTGTTACCTGCCATTTTTAATCGGTGACTTTGGAAGACCAGGGTGAGATTTCAGCCAAAACAGTCAAGTTGTTACAATCAAGATGTTTCAAGTCCGTTGAGTCGCTGTCTTTACTGTCAAATGATATTGATCTGTTTTGTATTTGACATTGTTTTTCTTCATTTTTTCGCTATCACAATGATGTTGGAAAGTCTTGGCGAGCTACTTTCTCTGTCAGCTCAGCCATCGTTTTGTAACCGCTCCACCGTTTCCTCCATTCTCAGTTCCTCCACACATCCCTCTATCCCTTCCCCAACCAGAGCAGCAGCACGCCTCTGACGGTGGCCTCGCTGCGCCTTCCAGTGGCGCGTTCACATGTGCATTTATGTACATGCACAGACGGCGATTCTGACCAAAAGTGTCACAGGTACCTAATGTAAATTCTGTGCACACTGCTGTTACTCTGTGATATGATTTGAAGCTATCAAATGAATTGATGTGATTTGCTCTTTGCCCTTATTTCTTTAGGGGTTTTATGGTGGAAAGTGGCTGTTTTAGTTTTGTTTTCATCTTTCCTCACCTATCAATCATGATTTAACAAGGCGGTTTTTCTCTTGGACTCGTGCTGCATCTCTTCTGGGCCCCAGGGCTCTATCCAGTGAAGCATGGCTGCTTGACTCTATGCAATCCAAATGATTTCTCTTTCCACAGACCCACTCCTGTGGCAACAAATGTCTCTCCGTAGACTCATTCTCCTTTTTTCCTTCCACTGCTAACCAGTCATTTCCTCTCAATGCAGATAAATGGACTGCCAACCGTAACTCATCACTTGTGTTACTTTGGTAATCACTTGAGTTAAATTCCCTGCGCAGTTGTTATTGTTTTCTTGTGAATTTTGCATCTATTCTTCTCTTTATAAAAGACTGATCTGCTCGAACTCTATCATGATTTTCTGACTCCCGTTTCCCCTTTAAGCATGAAAGATTCCCGATTAGTCAAGCAACATAAATGAGATGAAAATTGAAATTGACTTTCTCACTGTGTTGTTTTGTTTTAATGAAGTTCTGCATGATTTTAAGAGCTTTTAGGACAGGATCTGCTTTTCGTGTATGACAGGAAGAGATCGAACGCAGACAGACTGAGCGTCGCCACACTGAATGTGCTCATTATGCATCTGTCAATCAAAGTGCATTAATGTTTTAAGGCCTATTAACACCTAAACTCACCGTAAACAGAGCAAAAAGGAACAATATAAAAAGCAGTGGTTAACAAAATAGGAGTGTGTGTAATGCATATTTATACTGTACCTGCCCAACACCATTTTATTACAAAAGCCTTGCTATTATCGCTAAAAGTTCACCTGTATTGTCATAATTTAGTTTTCTGAATCACAGTTCACCTGTTTTTGACATTAAAGCTCGTGACCAGTGTGTGATCAGGCCATGTTGCTCCAAATGAATAGAGCTGTTAAAATGCAAGTAGATTTGAGTTTCTGACAAAATGGTTTTGTTCATTTGTCTTTGTGTGTGTGTTTAGCAGGGCTGGCCAGCAGGGACCCAGCAGATCCTCATTCCCTCTTCATGGCAGCAGATGTCAGGCATGACCATGCACAATCCCAGCCAGCCTGTGCTGTCTGACTCACCCATGGGCTCTCTGCTCTCGGACAACACCAGCCAACAGAACAGTAGCTGGAGGTCAGAACTCTCCCACAGCAGTTTACACTTGCAGTTTCACACTCCAGGTTCTGTTGCAAACCTGGATTCATTCAACCATCAAGTCTGAAAAAAAGCTTGTGTAAACGCTTTACTATTGTGCAGTGCTCGAGTATGAATGCATCTGGGGTTTGCTTTAAAAGTGAATCTCACAAAACCTATCAAAAATATCACCTCAAAATCAAATATATTATTATTAATTAAAACACATTAATAATAATGATAATAAATATATTATATATTAAATATTTGTGTGTGTGTAATAGTAGTAGTAGTAGTAGTAGGAAATATGGTATTATTATTATTGTTATTATTATTATTATTATTATCAGTATTAGTATTATATAATAATTATTAATTACTAATATAGTTAATATAATTATTATTGTGTAATTATTGTGGTTATTTTGTTATTATTATTATTATTATAAATCAGCTCAAAATAGAAGGAAAAATATTAATAATAATATTGTTTTAAATTAAAAATATATAAACTATATTAAGTCTATTTTTCTATATATTCTTATTATATAGCCATTATTAAAATTTATTATATATGAATTATTCTAATAATTAATATGATTTAATTATTGTAGTTATTGTGTTTTTATAATTATTAGTATTAGTATTAAAATCTGGGGTTTGCTTTACAGGTAAACCTCACAAAACCTATGAGACAAAAAAAAAAATCAGCTCAAAATAGGGAAAAAATGATAATAATAATAATATTGTTCTTAATTAAAAATAAATAAATTATATTAAGTTATTATTGTTATTATTTAAAACGTATTAATTATTATTATTATTTACTGTCATTATTATTATTATTGAGATTTTTAAAAAATCTAATTCTCAATACTGTAAGGTGAGAAAGAAATGACATATATTTAAGTTAGTTCATTTATGCTTATTTAAATAAAAAAAATGTATTATTTTAGTAATTTGGAAACAATACAGTAAGAATTAAAAATGTACCTTTTCTTTTCTTTAGATTTTAAGGTGAAATATGACCTGGACAGGTTCTTGACACGTTTTGCTTGATTCACATGTGCTTTATTGTCTGATTACAGTGTTAAAAGCTTTAAAAGGTGGTGCTTATGTTGATGACGAAAAAGTATTTTGCAAATGTACTAAGTGTGAAAACAACTTAAAAGTGATGAACTGGAATATTGCAACTTCTTGTAAGCCGGTAGAAATCATTGCAGATTGACACTTTGATTGACTTTGTTGCTGCTAACTGTAATGTAAAACAACGTGCTGCTGCAATGAAAACTGAATTTTACGAACTGTAAATAGCTAATTACCAATTACTATTCTCAAAACAGCATGCATTTAATACACTCTGTCAGGGGTCGACATGGAGGTCAGTGCGATGGGAAGCAGCAGGGCTCTGCGCAGGGGCGTAACGTGAGCACACAGCCCTCCCACACAAAGGCAGCCAGCAGTCGTACACAGCAGAGTAGAGTAAAGAGGTCAAAGGGTCGACATGCCGAGAGCAGAGCCAGGTAACGCTGTTAATGAGTCTCAGAACGAGCAACCACCTTCATAATACCAGTGTCTGAATAATAGATCGGAAAATGTACATTTCAAGTCAAACTGTCCAAAATATGGTACTGTGTACTCAATTAAAATCTGTTTTCTGTCTTCATGTCACAGACCCACGTCCTCCCAGCAGTCGACTTCTTCAGTAGCACACAACTGTGGTGATGCGTCCCAGCCCATCATCATCTGTGACACGCCCAGCCCCGCCGTCAGCATCATCACCATCCACAGTGATACTGAGGACGAGGACGACAGGAAGTTTCCTCCTGAAAGGTGCAGCATCACTTTCACATCCCAACCAAAACTCTTTACTGTAGCTGTATTGTAGTTGCTGTGTGTGTGTGTGTGTGTGTGTGTATGTATATATAGTTTATTTATTTTTTGCTACATTATTTTTCTTTTAGACATATCTTCATATTGTCAAAATTTGGTCATTAAGATTTTTTAAAAATAAATAAGTATAAAATTAAATGAATAAAATGTATAATTTGCATTAAATTGATCAAAAGTGACGATAAAGACATTTATAATGTTACAAAAGATTTCTATATCAAATAAATGTTGTTCTTTTGAACTTTCTACTCAGAAAATATGATTGAAAATAATGTATCTCAGTTTGTATCTCAAAAATATTAAGCAGCACAACTGTTTTCAACATTGATAGTAATAAGAAATCTTGCTTGAGCAGCAACTTAGCATATTAGAATGATTTCTGAAGGATCATGTGACACTGAAGACTGGAGTAAGGATGCTGATATTTCAGCTTTGCATCACAGGAATAAATTACATTTGAAAATATATTCAAATTAAAAACTGTTCTTTTAAATGGTTACAATATTTCGCAACACTTTTTTTACAACCTTGGTGAGCATAAGAGACTTTGTTCAAAAGCATGAATTCAAGTTGTTCTTCTCTTGTATGGCAGCTGTAGTGTGAACCAGCGTACAAATGTCATCAGCTGTGTGACTGTCCATGACTCCCAGGACTCGGACTCATCCACCAGCACCCCTCTCAGCCCCAAATGCCTTCCCAACACACACTCCAAGTCTCTAGCCATGGTAACGCCGTCAGTGAAAAAACAGCGCTGGGATGGAGCGTCAGGAGGTCAGTGAGACTCATTCTGACTTCTAATCATCTAAATACTGAGCTTTGATTAATTAAAGGGGCCACATTCTACACTACAGCTTTAGCACTACAGTCCATTCATGATAAACAAGGCTTCTTACACCAAAATCAGTCACAATTAGTTTTAAATGACCATTTTAGAATTAACCAGGATTTTTCTGTTACTGTAACTTTTTATATGAAAATGACCTCTGTTATGATTGGTTCACCTCTTTGCATGTGAAATGAGTAAAAGCAAGTTGTTGAATATTGAAAAGACATGGATATACATATGGAAGTGGTCATATGATAATGTCATGTTTGTACAGATTTGACTCTTTAAAGGGTTAGTTCACCCAAAAATGAAAATTAGCCCATATATTACTCGCCCTCAAATCATCCTAGGTGTATATGACTTTCTTCTTTCAGACGAATCCAGTCGGAGTTATATTAAAAATTGTCTTTGATATTTCAAGCTGTTTAATGCCACTCTGCGGGTGTTTCATGCATCAGTCCAAAAGCAGTTAAATAAAATGCGTCCATCCATTAAAAAAAAGTGTCTCAAACGGCTCCAGGGGGTGAACAAAGGCCTTCTTTAGCGAATCGATGCATTTTTGTAAGAAAAATATCCATATTCAAAACGTAGTAATCACTTTAATGTAGCTTGCGCTCACAGTTGTACATGGAAGCAGTTCCGGGGGAATGACGTATGAGGTCGGCTTTGCGCATGCTCCGCTCAGAAGTGACGCATGCGGAAGTGCAGGGGGGAGATCAAAACAAAACAATGGTCATTTTTTAGAAGTACAAAACGAGGATTTGTAAAGAAGAATGTCGGAGGATTTCGATATAAGCCAAGAGGAGACTGGTTTTCCTTTGCTAAAGTAAGGAAACTTTGCTTCCTTTGCTCCTGTTAACAAATGCTGGTTTTCACGAGACTCACCGGCGCATGCACAACGCTGACCTCATACGTCATGCTCCCGGAACTGCTTTCGTGTACAACTGCTGGCGCAAGCTACATTAAAGTGATTATTACGTTTTGAATATGGATATTTGTCTTACAAAAACGCATCGATTCGCTACAGAAGGCCTTTGTTCACCCCCCGGAGCCGTGTGAGACACTTTTTTTTATGGATGGGCGCTTTTTATTTAACTTATTTTGGACTGATGCATGCAACACCCGCTGAGTGCCATGAAACAGCTTGAAAGATCAAAGACAATTTTTAATATAACTCCGACTGGATTCGTCTGAAAGAAGAAAGTCATATACACCTAGGATGACATGAGGGTGAGTAATTTAGGGGCTACTTTAAATTTTTGCGTGAACTAATGCTTTAAGATCTTTTTTCTGTACCTCTAGAGCAACGTACTAATATCTCTGGAAAATCGAAGAAAGGAACGGCCTCACAGTCCAGCGACCGGCATCACAGAGCAGCATCAAACAGATCTCAGCCTCTCAACCTGAGCCAGGTACATCTGTACAGGTCCACTCCGGTTTTTAAACACCACATGACATCAGATTTAAACTTTTGTGGCTTTTAGTCAATGTCTGTTAGCTTTGAGGTCATCTAAAGTCTAACGTTTAGGGTCAATTATGTTTTTGTTTTTTTTGCGTATTGATACTAATATTAATATTAATAATTATTCTAATATTAATAATTATTATTAATAATTATTCAGCAAGGATGCATTAAATTAATCAAAAGTGAGAGTAAAGACATTAATAATGTTACAAAAGATTTCTATTTCAAATAAATGTTATTTGAACTCTATTCAGTGAAGAATCTTGAAAAAAATGTATCATGGTTTCAATAAAAATAAATATTGATATAAAAATAAATTTTTAATTATTATTGTCAGTTGTTATTATTAATGTTTCTTATTATGATCAATGTTGAAAACGGTTTTAATATTTTTGTGGAAACAGTGATACTTTTGTGGATTGCTTTATGAATAGAATGTTCAAAATAAATATTAGAATTTTTAATTTGAAATAGAAATGTTTTGTAGTAAGTGTCTTTACTGTCACATCTTTGATCAATTTAGTGAATCCTTGCTGAATACAAGTTCGTTTTTTTGGTTTACTTTTTAAAAAATCTTACTTTCACTTTTAATCAGTTTAAAACACCCTTGCTAAATAAATATTAATTTAAGGATCATGTGACACTGAAGACTGGAATAATGGCTGCTGAAAATTCATCTTTGCATTACCGGAATAAATTACTTTTTAAAATATATTTAACTAAAAAAAGTTAAATTAAATTGTAATAATATTTCATATTATGTATTACTGTTTTACTGTATTTTTGATCAAAGAAATGGAGCCTTGGAAGCATAAAATACTTATTTAAAAAAAACAAATAAATATATATATATAAATATAATTATTGTATCTTTGACTGGTAGTGAATCTGAATCAACTTCCTGTTTCAACAGGAAACACAACATCGCATGAAGAAAATTGTGTGCCATACATTTCTAAGGATGATTTCATGGCAGACCTTGGTGTATTTTTTAAATATTTATCATCAGGTTGCTTTTTTCCTACAGAGTCATCCAGTGATTCTTTATGCTTTTGATTCACTCTGTGATTCGTTCAACAGGCGCAGCAATCAATGATGTCATCCCACTGCCGTGCAGGGGGCGGATCCCTGAGACGCCAGCCCACCTACCCTCCTACAGGCCCCTCCCACTCCTACAGGCTTCATGAAGCATCGCTCTTCGGCTCTGCCTCCAGTCTGTATGCATACCCTGCATCTGCAGCCCTGGCCTCAGTGTCGCAGGCCGTGGACCAGCTGCACAATTCAGCCAGTTCCTGTTCCTCGTCCTCCGGCCGGCACACGCGCACCGTTGGCCCGTACTCAGCCTCTCTGAGCCTTCTGCAGAAGAACAGTGCCATGGGCGTCATGTGTCAGGCTTCAGCGCCGTATCAGCACCAGCAGCTGTCCACACCGTCCTATCAGCGGTCTGCGGCGTTTCCCCTCAGCCGGAGGAAACTCAACCAGTACCCGTACCTGTGAGGAGCAGCCGTCTGAGCATCTGCTGTGATATATGGGTAATACCAGAATGGTGTCATGGATGTTTAAGTGGAAATGTCATTTTAGCTTCTTTTATCTCGTTTTAGTGTTTTATTTTCTTCAAAGCATTTCAGTGGAGCACTTCTTGCATTTTAGATCATTTCAAACCATGTCATAAGCACAAAACACTGGGCTGGTTTTTAACTGTTTCTTAAAATATCACCCGCACAGAAGCCTCTGGATGTCCAGAAAAAAAACCATCACCTTAAAACACATCAAACTTCGTGTTTGACTAGAAAAAGAAACATGGCTGTTTGGAATAGCATACTATCATACTACTCTCACGGTTTCTGCAGTGTACAGTATGCAGAGGAAATGTATGAGATTTTTCCAAAGTGACTTACAAATGAGAAATACAACAAAGTGATTCATGCTAAGATGACTATAACAGCGCACAGTGTGTGGAATTATGTATCCCACAATGCAACACACTCAATTTGAAATTACTAGTTCGTTCATTGTGATGAATGAGACAACACATTTTAACATATCTCTCTTGACTTATTTGAATAAACTGATATTATTTTCAGCATAATGCAAAAAAACGAAAAATCTTATTCTCATTCTCAAGGTAAAATTTTTTTTTTAATTAATTTAATTAGTTAAAAAAACGCTTCATTTTATTTTATAAACTTATTTTAAAAATAATGTTTACCTTCAAAATCTGCTTATGCTTTGGATAAAAACAACCTTTATTATCATTATTATTATTATTATTAAGATTTTAATTATTTTATATTATTTTCTTTACAACTTAGCACCTTTTCCCCCAGCTAATTCTTAATGCCGTAATGCAAAAATCTCATTCTTATTACGTTAAGGTAAAAATTATTCTATATTATATGATTTTTTTTTATTTAAGCTTAAACCATTTATTTTTAATAATTACTATTACAGTTTATATTTTTTTTACAGTATTGTTTTTTGAATGCAGTAGGCTGTATGCAGTGTATACTGCACAGTAAGCAGTATGCTAGTATTCCATTCTGAACGAAGCCCATGCTGAACTGTCATCTCTGAAAAATGTTAATGATATTTAAAATAGGCCGCTTTTTTAAATAATGGAGGGATTTTATTTAATCTGGAAATTAGAGAATTGTGTTTTTGGTTTTTTTAATGTTTAAGCTGTCTTTGGGATGTGCATCAGCAGACAGTGATATCTCCTAGAACAGATACAATTATATTTATAATCGTCTGCCCGATTATAAAAATATGTTGAAATGATACATAAATGATGTCACTCTGACAACACTAAAGCATTCTGTTGGCAGACCCAAATGTTATATTTGGGCTGGTTACGTTTGCAACATATTTTTAAGTGGTGGCCTCATGACACAGCATGTCATCGCTGCTGTTTATTGGTGTCTAGAAACTGAACTGAAACTAGAAACTGAGAAAGTGAGCTAAATATGATACACACAATTTTATATATCAAACTTATGCTGAAACTTATTCCTAGTTCAAATTTGATTATCATTAAACAGTCTTGTTTGCTCAATCACAAAATAACCACAAGAACATAATTTAAAATAGTTTTCTTTTTTCATATTATGTTTTATAAGTGACATTTTACTGTCATATACATTTTGTGTCAGAGAGCTTTGTAGTTGCACACAAAATAATCACGTTTTCGGTTTCAATGTAACTTCTATTGTGCTTTATTTATTTACTGAATAGTGTTGACTATTAATGATATACAGTATGTATCTGTTTTTATTTAACCTAATAATAATTGTGCTTTCATTTAAATCCTTTTAATTCTCTTCGATTTTTTTTTTTTTTTTTTTTTTACATTGATTTGAAAGTATCGTCTTATTCTACTAGCACTAATGTTTATTATTTGCAACACACTCAATTTGAAATTACTAGTTCGTTCATTGTGATGAATGAGACAACACATTTTAACATATCTCTCTTGACTTATTTGAATAAACTGATATTATTTTCAGCATAATGCAAAAAAACGAAAAATCTTATTCTCATTCTCAAGGTAAAATTTTTTTTTTAATTAATTTAATTAGTTAAAAAAACGCTTCATTTTATTTTATAAACTTATTTTAAAAATAATGTTTACCTTCAAAATCTGCTTATGCTTTGGATAAAAACAACCTTTATTATCATTATTATTATTATTATTAAGATTTTAATTATTTTATATTATTTTCTTTACAACTTAGCACCTTTTCCCCCAGCTAATTCTTAATGCCGTAATGCAAAAATCTCATTCTTATTACGTTAAGGTAAAAATTATTCTATATTATATGATTTTTTTTTATTTAAGCTTAAACCATTTATTTTTAATAATTACTATTACAGTTTATATTTTTTTTACAGTATTGTTTTTTGAATGCAGTAGGCTGTATGCAGTGTATACTGCACAGTAAGCAGTATGCTAGTATTCCATTCTGAACGAAGCCCATGCTGAACTGTCATCTCTGAAAAATGTTAATGATATTTAAAATAGGCCGCTTTTTTACATTGATTTGAAAGTATCGTCTTATTCTACTAGCACTAATGTTTATTATTTGATTTGTATTTTGTGTGTTTTATCCATTACTCAAGAGTGAATTTGTCAGTGTGAATTGTCAGGATGGTTATTTGTCATTTGTTCTGTAATGTCGTCAGCACAATATGATGTGTTTAAAAGATGGTTTGGATTGTGTGTGTGTGTGTGTGTGTGTGTGTGAGAGAGAGAGAGAACTTACCCTGTTTGCACAGTGAAATCAGAGCAGGACCTCACAGATTATCAGAATATTTAGATAATGCTTAAACAGATGGTTAACATGTTAGCTGTTCATCTCTGTTGATCTTCGAGCACTTCATCATGTGTCGTTCTGAGCTTGTCTCGTGAATGTTGCTGGGGTTCTTGGCTTTGGTGCAAAGATGGCTGTTTATACTGTTTTATCACCGTGTGATGTGGAGTGCAGAGTAGATGAAATCACAATAAACTTTCATCCAGAACACTGTGTGTGAGTCTGATAAATCTGAGGCTGCAGTAGCCAGTAGGCCGAGTGATGAATGAAGCCGCTTACTACACTCGCAGCGGTGGCTTTATTTTTATAATCTCTCTAAGGGGAATGTATTTTGGTGATAATCCATTGTCGGTGGCATTTTTAGAGCCAGTTTGGCTTTTCTTCCACTGGCACTATAAGAAATGATGCCTTTACAGACAGGTTGGGACTTGAGCTGTCCTCTGTGCATTGGATATCCATCCATCCATTCTCCAAAACACTGTATACAGTATATATATCAAAATATATGTATATATAGTAGATAGACAGATAAATGATATATAGATATGCATCCATTCCCCAGGCAATTAATCAAAATATATATATATATATATTCTGATAAGTTGTGAATGGATGGATATTTTAAATATATATTTTGACAACCTTTCTGTTCATTTGTAGTTATTGGATACAATCATTAAAAGGGCTGTCAAATTGATTAATCAATGAATCGCATCCAAAAAAGTAATTTGTGTCTGCATAATATATGTGTGTGTACTGTGTATATTTAAGATATGTATATGTGTGTGCATATATATATATATATGATTATTATTTATATTTATATATTGAGCAATTTGACAGCCCTAGTATGTGTGTGTATGTATGTATATATATATATATATATATTATTAGTATTATTAATTTACATGACTTTTCTAGGCCTGAAAAAAAAACATTAAAAATATTTGTAAAAATTTTAGTGACTGTTGGAGCTCTATATCTAATATTTGTAATACATATTTCTTACAGTATGGTACCTAATAAAACCTTTCCATTTTGATCACCTATAAAATAAATCTGTTGCTCCTGAATGGGCCTAGGGACCATGTGCATGTAATCTACATACTAATTCTCAACAAATAAAGCCAAATATTATGCAATATGCTTACCAGGATCTTTAACTCCTAAGTAAACATAAGCATGTGGGTAAACACAGCCATTACACATTCTAATAACACACAGTATTATCATCACAGAACATGATTAAACGCTGTAGACTCTGATGTGGTGCTGCTGTGTGTGGATGTTTCAGCGGTGTGACATTGTGAAAGGACTCACAGTGGGTTCCTGGCGTTGACACACCGTCTGTCATAGGAGGCCTATGACAGACGCCCTCCCTGCAACGCTGTGACCTCTGCAAGGGCCGCCCAATGATAGTGGCACACAGGAGACCTCACGCTTGTAACCTGGAGTGATAATTTATGAAGCGCTAAAACAAAGCTGCATCGGATCAAGGTCAAGACACATTGAGGAGCCGGAGTTGCTTGTTGGTCTCAACAAGCTCCTGTTCTTGAGAGAGTACAAACTGCAAAGCAGCTTAATACTGAGCCATGACCCACGAAAATATTCTGTATTATTACATCACATAAAATACATTGCGCCTGTTATGTACAATGCTACCAGTGGAATCCACACGAATTCACCAAGCTGCTCCCTCTAATGGAAAAATGCCAATAGTGTAGCGATTTATGAAGCATAGCGCACTCAGAAGTCGCTTTCATACCAAGCAGCTTTCTGTTGCTCAACGTGACAAATTTGCATTGCTCATTTGAACTATTGCGAAATGGGTTTGGGAAAATCTTTTGTCCTCACATGAAATTCCCGATTTCATGGATTCTTAAAGGGGTCATATGATGCGATTTCAAGTTTTCCTTTCTCTTTGGAGTGTTACAAGCTGTTCGTGCATAGATAAGATCCCTTAAGTTGCAAAGACTAAAGTCTCAAACCCAAAGAGATATTCTTTATAAAAGTTAAGACTCATCCACGCCCCCCTAAAACGCCTCGTTTAAACACGCCCCCACATGTCTACGTCACTATGTGGGAAGATTTGCATAACACCGCCCAAATGTTCACGCAACGAAAGAAGGTGTAACTTTGATTCTCGCTGTAGTATTGTTTGTTGCCGCCGCCGCCATGTTGTGGAGATGCTGTGTGTTTCGTTGTGAAAGCCAAACTACTAAAAGAGGACACAACTAGAAATCAGTGGTTAAGTTGTATTTACAACACTGTTCCAGAGCAGTTCAACCCAAATATTCAGATGTGTGCAGCACATTTTATGGAGGACGAGGATTGTTTCCTGGGAGAGTAGCCTACAAGCCTACGTTTCCCCTTCGGCGCGCATGCTGACCACAGTCTATGATGTTGACAAATAATGCTGACTCACAGTCTGTAAGTACGTTTTCATATTTAAAGGATTTGCCACTGATGATTCAAACGCGAGTTTTGAGCAGTGTAGAGTAGCACTGGTTGTTTGTCGTTTCTCCGATCACAAATGCAGACATGGTTTTGTTTACACGGCGCAACGCGTAAAAAGACAGTATGTCATTATAATCCGTAATTATGTCCCCACTGGATGCAACAAATGCCTTGTTTATAATGGGTTTTAATGTTTTGTCTTATCGCGCCGGGACACAGCATCACAGTATGGTAAGAGGTATAACATTTCCGTCACATGCTTGAGGTATTCGGCCAATCACAACACACTGGATAGCTGGCCAATCAGAGCACACCTCGCTTTTCAGACCAATGAGTTTTGTTAAAAATCG